ACAGTAGGTTATTGCTAATAGTGTCCGGCCAAAGGATCTGAAGCATTTTGCGTAGACAATTGTTAATAAACATCTGTATTTTCTGGATGATGGCTTTCGTAGTTCTCCAGGTTTCTGCTCCATACAGTAGAACTGTCTTGACATTTGTATTGAAAATCCTGACCTTGGTGTTGGTTGACAGTTGCTTTGAGTTACAGATGTTCCCTGTTCATCAATGATGCTGCCCAAATACGTAAAGGTTTTTACATCTTCCGAATCTTCTCCGTCAATTGTGATTGGATTGGTGCATGCTGTGTTGTATCGGAGAATTTTGCTTTTCCCTTGGTGTATATTTAGACCTACTGCTGCTGAGGCTGCTGCCACACAGTTCGACTTCTCCTGCATTTGCTGTGGCGTTTGGGATAGAAGGGCCAGATCATCTGCGAAGTCTAGATCGTCCAACTGCATCCTAGATGTCCATTGTATCCCGCGCTTCCCTTCGGACGTTGACGTCTTCATGATCCAGTCGATCACCAGGAGAAAAAGAAAGGGTGAGAGTAAGCAATCTTGCCTAACACCGGTCTTCACTTCGAACGACTTTGTCAACTGTCCTTCATGCACAATTTTGCAGTGTAACCCATCATAGGAATTCTGTATGATATTGACTATCTTCTGAGGCACGCCGCAGTGTCGAAGAAGTTTCCATAGTGCTGTTCTGTCCACGCTATCAAATGCCTTTTCGTAGTCAATGAAGTTGATGTAGAGTGATGAATTCCATTCAATTGATTGTTCCACAATGATCCGTAGAGTTGCGATTTGGTCTGTACACGATCTATCCTTACGGAATCCTGCCTGTTGGTCACGAAGTTGGGCGTCTACGCAGTCTTTCATCCTGTTTAACAATACCCTGTTGAAGACTTTTCCCGGTATTGAGAGAAGAGTGATGCCGCTGTAGTTATCACAGTTGCTGAGATCGCCTTTCTTCGGTATTTTGATCAGGAGTCCTTCTTTCCAGTCTTTTGGTACTTGTTCCTCATCCCAAATCTTATTGAAGAGAATGTGGAGTATCCTTGCATTTGCCGCCACGTCTGCTTTTAGTGCCTCTGCTGCGATGTTGTCTGGTCCTGCTGCTTTGCCACTCTTGATTTGTCTGATGGCCATGCTGATTTCTTCAATTGTTCGTGGGCCAACATTGATTGGGAGGTCCCTGGGTGCTGCTTCGATGTTGGGTGGGTTCAGTGGAGCTGGTCAATTCAAGAGTTCTTTGAAGTGTTCTACCCACCCGTTTTGTTGCTCTTCAATGTGGGTGATTACCCTGCCTTCCTTACTTTTTACTGGTCGTTCTGGTTTGTGGCGATTTCCAGAGAGTTTCTTTGTCGTGTCATACAATTGTCTCATGTTTCCTTCTCTTGCAGCCTTTTCCGCCGTCGTTGCTAAATCTTCCACATATTTACGTTTGTCGGTTCTGATGCTCCTCTTCACTTGTTTGTTCACTTCTGTGTATTCAGCTTGTGCCTTGGCTTTTTCTGCTCTTGTTCGGCTGGTGTTGATTGCTGCCTTCTTGTTCCTTCTTTCTTGAATCTTATCCAGTGTATCAACAGTGATCCATTCCTTGTGGTGGTGCTTCTTGTGACCCAGAACCTCATGACATGTTGAAGTGATCGCCTCTTTAACCCCCTTCTAGTTGCTCTCCACAGTAGTTCCTTCTCCATTGAGTAGATCATGAAAGGCCTGGAACTTGTTGCTGAGGTCTATCTTGAATTTGTTGAGTTTGTCAGTGTCCTGAAGAAAGGCCGTATTGAACATTTGTGATATTGTCCGCCCCGTTGTCCAGTGCTTCTTGAGTTTCAATTTCATCTTGGCGACCAGTAAGTGATGATCTGATGCTATATCAGCTCCTCTCTTGGTTCTCACGTCCTCTATAGTCCTCCTGAACGTTTTTTTGATGCAGATATGGTCGATTTGGTTTTGTGTAGAGTGATCCGGTGAAGTTCATGTGGTTTTGTGTATGCGTTTATGTGGGAATATGGTGCCGCCTATGACCAGCTTATTGAAGGCACATAGATTTGCAAATCTCTCACCATTTTCGTTTCTTTCTCCCAGTCCGTGTCGTCCCATGATGTCTTCATATCCAGTGTTATCCGTCCCAACCTTGGCATTGAAATTTCCCATCAGAATGGCCAGGTCCTTTGTTGGGCACTTCTCGACGATTGACTGCAGCCTATTGTAGAATTGATCTTTAGCGTCTTCATTGTAGTCGTTGGTAGGCGCATACAATAACTAACCATAATTGCTATTAATTGAATTGAAATCGTGAAATGTGATCAAGGAATTTTTTCTCAGACTTTACGTAGATTATTAGTGGCGTTTCAGAAGTTAGACTTGAGGGCGGGGTTGTACTACTGATGACTGAAGGTGTGATGGCAGCAAGGTTTCATACCAAGATAACCATCATCTCCAGCGGTGCTACCTCACAACGATAGGAAAAGGGTAAAGTGGTCAACCCTAAAGTTAACACACTTCATATTCTCATATAGGTTCCCGTCGTCAGCGGTTAGGTCTTGAAAGTATGAAGCTTACACATTTATAATTACTCATAAAATAGCCATATGTGATCGACCCCAAGTAATCGTCTCGTAGGTCCTGAGGTCATGCTCTCAGGTTGAAAGTAACCACTACCAACACAGTCTCCTTTTCAATCACCTCAGGGAGGGAAGTATCCTTTCACGATGTGAAAAGTCAGGAAGTGACAACCACCGACACATTGTTAACATCACTTGAGACTGTACGAGTCATGCTGATTTATCAAAGAGTTTAATTATTTTTGTAACTATATGATATATTTATACTATGAAGCGTTATTTATTATCTTTTAATGAGTATTTCTTAATTGTATAATATTTATATTCATAGACGAACAACAACGTGTCTTTTTCTGCTCTTGTTCGACTGGTATTGATTGCTGCCTTCTTGTTCCTCCTTTCTTGAATCTTATCCAGTGTATCAACAGTGGTGTTTCTTGTGACCCAGGACCTCACGACATGTTGAACAGATATCACAATTGATTGATCACTGGGTGGTGATCAATGTCATGCTTGTCTAGTCCTTATTAGTGCAGATCGAATGCGGGCACTATGTATTGAGATTTAGATGGTGTCGAGCCACCTAGACTGGTGACCACATTGCAACATGATCGATAGCATTCGATCTGCACTAATAAGGACTAGACAATCATGACATTGATCACCACCCAGTGATCAATCAATTGTGATTACATCTCAGTCCTACAGGAGGTTAGTTACGGCTCGGATAGCTCAGTGGTAACGTCTCTGACTGTGAAGCTGGGTGACACGAGATTGAATCCGCCAGGGAGCATCAGTTCCCTCAAGATTACAGGTACACCGTACTGACGAGTGCCAAGTAGCACGAAACCCGGGTCCAGGGTTTCCTGTTGACTACCTCCAACCACCATCTAAATGTTGAACAGATAGCCTGTACCACCAAATAAATCGTAATTACTGGTAACCAAAGGTCTAGCCCGTAAAATAACTGAGTCATAAAAGTCATATCAAACTTTTAGCGAGTTATGAATAAAATGATACAGCTTAAACGACTCGGAAACCGAAGCATGTAAGCTCTCATTAATTGTACTTTTTTCATTATTAAGACAACAGATGGAATGCAAAGTAAAACTTTATTTTTTAGGTTCCCTATATCACATACGTTTCAGAGCAGTAATGTTCCCAGTCCATCATTTTAATGATAACACGGTTCTAACAACATTTCGGCCTTGTGTTGATCATTAGTTTTTGGTTTAATTAACCACACAAAGAAGATGTCTCAAATTTATTTGATCAGCTATGACCAATAAATAGTATTGCAGATAATTTCATTCATCTAGCAGAGATTCAAAATATACTCCAATAGAAAGTACACATGACTACACAGTTTATCATCATCTCAATTTCATTCATTCAAATGACTACATTATTTAATAGGAAGGTTTGACCACAAAAATACTTTCTAACACATACAGGAACAATCTAATGTAAACAACAGGTTCCGAAATAAACAGTTTCTCAAATTAAATCCAACCGTATCTGGGATATCTCACAATTTCAAACTCAGATTCGGTTAGCTTCCAAATTTTTAGACGATTTTTCCGCAACCGTGACGATGTTCAAGATAAGATACAAACTAAGGGGTTCTATATTCATCCTAAAGCAATGATATTATTTTCCACATAATTAGTATTACGGAATGATTGGCTTCAGGGTTGAATTGGAGGAAGGCAGGAGGAATTTTTCTTTAAGGGTTTGGTAAGTCGGAATATTAGATTTATGTCACAGTATTATTAAGGCTATTCATTAAACCCAGGACCCTAGGATACTCCAGCAGGTGCGATTTATTTACCTTCTGAGTTGGTATACGTTTTCAAGTTCAATCAGTTGACTTCAATGTGGTCTTCGTCCCAAGTCACTGACGAGTCTCCTTATGGCCTTCAAGTTCATTTACTCTTCAGGTTATAGTATTCTGTTAAACTTCTAGGATTCACGTCAAAGCGAATGGCTAACGAGTACGCAGTTATATTTAACTCAAGTTGTTTTTTAAAGCATTGAGTAAACCAAGAAGATAATGAAGCGCCAGCTAATCGATACGATTGGATTAGGACCACACCATAAATTCAATCGACTGAATTTGTGTACTGTCGAATTTCGGCTCACTAGCTGGATGGTAATGTGTTGACCTGAAAAAGGTATTGAGTTTGATATTGTGTAGGTTAACGGGTACGCTCAACTAAGAATTCTAATACTGGGTGTCCATTCTATTGTTAGGGTCACGAAGGATGAGTTGAACCTATTGTGCAAGACTATTTACATGAAGCTTTCATCCAACTAAGCTTTTTAAATAAAATGACATATATATGATTATTCCTAATTAAAATACAATGTTTAGTAGTTTGTTATTCAATTCATGATGTTCTTTAACAACCATCCGAAGATTATTTGGAAAGAAGCATGGATTTATCACTAAAGTTTATTTCAGTGAAATGAATGTAATGATCTATTACATTTTTCACCACAAAAAAATTAAACATTCATATTTACTGAAATACTCAAATAAACGTTGAACTTTCACTTCTGTGCATAGAGACATATACGGACACTGCAAGAATAATAACTTTTGTTTGTCCGAAAAATTGTTGCAAAACAGTTGACGTACTGATGCCGAATATTGATCTTCTCCAATTTCACTGCAAAATAATAAAATTAATCATCCTAATTTTGTAATCAGAAACCGAAACACATAGTGTAATTATAATGATGTTTATAATTACTATTAGTAGCAGTCATCATAAGGCGTTATTGATGCTTATTGATACCCTGAATTATATTTCGCAGTCAAGGATAATAGAATGTAGAGCTCACCTTCCGTTGCACTTGCAACTAGCATCCGAAATATAATAGCAGAGGATGCTGTCAAACACAATGAAGACGGTATGAGAAATATTGCGAAAATCGTCTTCCAATATTTACGTGTCTTACCTAACCCTTAAATAAGTCTGTCATATCTAATAGATCTCAATGAGACTTAACAACTCCTGGTCCGCATATCTTTTGTAATAGGGATAAAAAATTTACTCATCTAAATCCCAGGCGACATTCGACCCAGACGACTGCGTGTTGCTTAAGAGATAGCGGGGTTGAACCAATATAGGCGGACGATGGAGAATGAGTTAATACATTACACTGCAGTATAATTGGATTAACTAAGAGCACATTAGATAATGCAATAAGGATATTGTGTTGAGAGTTCATTCTGGAGCGGTTGCAATAGAAAAAGCATCCATGCTGATATGAAGTACATGAGTCTTTGACCTGTATATTTCAGATGTACATGTAAAGTATACTTGCTCACTGTCTAAGACTTATTCTTCGTTGCTGAGGGTCGGAAACTCTTTGAAGCCGGAAGATGGCTGATAAAAACTTATGTATTCATTTTAGGGCCTTAATATGGAATGATCCATTAGGTCTGGCGTAATGCCAGAGCGATGAGTATAATTTGGGGAACGGGGGTCGACATGACATCCCAGTGGGGTAGGATCGCGATGTTACTGCAAACTATAGACGATTTCTATCGACAATCCTGTCATGTCAGGATAACCCAAGTGTTTTAGCAGGTTATTAAACGCTGAGACACTGAATCCAACCCCATACTAGTGTATTGATTTGAGGACGTGATCATCGTTCATTTATCAATAATTGTTGTGCTCTGAAGTGACATTAGCGCCATGCGAATTTTGCTTTGTCGAGATGAGTTTTTAGCCTAATGAACCACTTGGTCTTCTAACATCGTTGGCAGGGGCTATGCTATACCAGTCTACTTAGAGTGTTGTTTGTTTGCTAATTAAAATATTTTAAGCTGAAAAGATTGCATTGTTATCATAACATTGGGTAAATGCGATTCTTGTGGTCAATAAAACTGGATAGACAGAAACAACAATGTTATAATATTTGCTATAATCGATTATTGTATTTTTGGTGACTACATTAAAACATGCACGTATAAAATAAGAACGAATAATTTGTTTTTTTACTAAAGCACACTAACTACTGTCAATATCATTAATAATAATAATAATAATAATAATAATAATAATAATAAAACTATTGTTCATGCATTTGATGTTTATATAAAGTACAGTAGAAAGTTGAAATTCATCTATAGTTTTATGACCTGACCTAGTGTGATTAAACATTTTTATCATGTGTTATTGAATGAATTTTGTTAATATAAACTTGTTTCAAACATGCATAATTATTATAAGAATTTATTATGATAAATATTAAAATTTCGCTCTAGACTAACTACTGTCAATAAACTGAGAGTTGGCTATTTTTACTGGTTTACAATTCTATTGGATACAAATTCTAACTACATAATGAAATGGAGAAAGTATGAATTTGTAGAGTGAGCCCATAACAACTTAACAACTGGGTAAAAAATTAATAATTACTAAAATTACTACAATCTTCACAAATCCCCATTCTGATAATAATCATCATGTGCTCACTAGTGATTAGCTTCAAGATGGATTTCCTTGAGTTCTAGTGACAAGCCGTGACTAGTGGAGTAACAGAGAGTTATCTACCTCAGACAGTGGATGAAAAGTTGCACAAGATCATGGATCGATTGAAGTTAGACATTAGCACCGCTGAATGCCGTTTCAGTGGTCTAGAGTGTAAGCGTTCGCGCGTGAGACCAAAGGTCTTGGGTTCGAGTCCCGCATATGGGACGCAGATGTGCACTGCTGGAGAGTCCCATACTAAAACGAAACGACCATTCAGTGTTTTCAGGTCTTTAATGGTAGTCTAGCCTAGATCAACTCATGGATTCAACTATTATAAAAAACTAATGGTCATGATTTAGCATGAATACTCAGAATTATCATCGAAAAGCCATTTATCATCAGAATCTACTTAATTTATTGACAGATCATGGAATCTATTATAAATTTATCTTTGAAACATGATGTGAATCGAAATTTAATCTCAAGCATTGTAAATATCCAGTTATTTTTACTTGACATGAATAATTTTCAAAATGAAACGATTCCTTTAGTTTTGGCAACAAGTTGAGAAATAATAGTTGTGATGAAGGATATAGTATAGTAGTTCAATACCTTTACAAAACAATCTGATTATATACTGATATGTCATGATATTACACATAAATATGAAAAGAAAACAAATGATCAAGATAATGTTAGTGAAAGGTTTTCATAGCAATTCTAGTAAAATAGACCGATATTTTACTCTGCTTAAAGCTTAAAACTCATTAAGATCTTAGGATATTTTTATAAATCTTTATAAGTGTTTAGAGTTGCAGTTAATTAACTCTTTTTTTCTTGTACTTCTCAACAATTGAAATCGTATATCTATTCCCTGTATCTATTAAGGTATTCGAACCGATATACCTTCAAATCCACTTGCAAGCATTTTCTCTTATTCCTAATCAATTACTTAAAATTTGATCACTATACGTTTTTACCGTGAATCACACATAAGTGATTAAAAAATGATATGTTATTGATATCACTAACCGATCTACGTTAGATAACCATTGGAAATCTGGAAACACTGAATAGCTGTTTCATCCTGCTAGGGGTGTGTATGTATGTGGATAGGGTTGTAGATGCACAGTGCTGATAAATTCAACGATCTTTGCAACTCGATACTGATGATAGTAAAATATGATATGACTGTCCATTAATAAACATTAATAGCTGCATTCTATCACATATAGTGAATTAAATAAAAAAACGGATCATATTATACATCCTAAATTTATTTGAAGAAGAAGGAATAGACACATTTTTATTCTTTTAATAGAATAATCATGAAGCGATAATACCAGACATTATAGATAATAAGAGTATTAAGAAACAATACACTACACTTACTCATATTCTGTTATTTTGAACAATCAAAGGTTTTTCTGTTTGTCTACAATAAATACTTAAATTTGTATACTTTCGTGTATTACTTGATTGGTTTATTTTCTTTGATAAGAAATAATGAATTTTACCTAAATTTTTTAAACTAGACTCATATCCTGAAATTTTGAATGTATTATTTATTTTCAATTGTTTACGATCATATCGTGTTGAAGGTAGTTCAGTTCGACTAGTAGCTAATGGGAACAAGAAAAAAAAATTTAGATTGAATACGCTAAAAATAATAAGTAATAAAGATTATTATTTCTATGTAATTTTGTAGTGAATGAGAACACAGGTGAGGAACAATTGAATGAATTGTGAACCGCAAATTACAGCACATCTTAATAAAATCTGAGAACCATACAGTAAATATTTAATTTCCAAAATATCGATCAATCACCTTAAACTTAACTGTTCCTTTTTAAAAAATATCAGTCAATTGTCTCAAACTTCATTGTTCCTGCATTTTCATACCAATTGCTATGTGTTCTCGATCATCTGCTGCCAGACATTCTAATTCTATCATAATATACTATTTATGTTGATATAAGTAGCACACAACACACTTTCAGGTGTTCATTTGTATAACTGAATTCTTTACTTTTATATATATTTTCTTTACTTTTAAATATGATGGGGACCTGTAACTGAAGATTCAGATAATCTTTTTTTAATTTCTAAGTCTCAGATGTATTTTTATATGACATAAAACATAATAAATCATATCGTCTATCTTTTTGTATTCTTATATGTTGCTACCTGTTGGTTTTCTCTTACTAACGTGACTTAATTCGCTATTTTATACAGGTCAATGGTGATTGAAACTCCGGCTGGAGCCCCTCTGGGGCTACTGTCGGTCTCAGGCTCGGATAAAGGAGGAGGGTTGGGCATGGAGTTAGCTACTCTATTCCGTAGAAAACTAACTCGCTAAAAAAAAACGCTAACCATAAAAAATGTCAATTAAAATATCTAACTGATCAGTAGATAATTTTTAGTTTAATAACGATTTTCGTATATTAAATCAACAATTGACCTAATAAATTTTAATATTCATTAATCCACTTAACTATAGATAAGTGATTTTATAAAGGATGATAATTAAATAACAAATAGTATTTCATATGACAGATTAAGTAATAATCTCTATATTCATTTTAAACGTATTCATTACTAAATCAGTTCATAGAAGAAGGAAAATGCTGTACACTCGCTTATGTAGATTGTATTCAATACAAGTAAATATACAAAGCATTTATCAACTAATAACAACACAATAGATGAATATTTCTTTATAAAAACTTATAAGATTTAAGTAAGAATATATTTATTGTTAAATTTCTACCCAATGATCATTTAATTTGAAACTCTCAAATTGAATTTTGGCATTCATATAATATCTAAGATGTTTTACTAACCTCTTGTTGGTACATCTTTTGATAGCTGTTCATCGAATAAGGAATTTCTTGATGACAGTCTAGTATGTTGTCTTGATTGATTCCGTCCAAATAATTCATCATGTGATTGATTTGTAGAGAACAAATATCCTGACTTGCGATCATTTAGAAGCTTTGATTTAGTCAACTTTAGGGGTAGATGTTTTATGTCTTTTTTATGTATTTCCTTAGATGTCCAACCATGGGTGAGATAATGCTCTATATGATCTAAAATTTTAGATATCTGAATAGTAGCTGGATGATCAACACCTATCGGTAGGATTAGAATAGAATAAAATAATGACAGAAATAAAAATATATTAGAAAATCCAAAATAAAACGTCAAGTAGGCTGATGTGAATTTGCCAGATTTGTAAAATGAGTACATTGTTTATCAGCTGCTTACATTCTCAAGCAACTTCAATATTAAATTTGTCAAACAAATGCATATAACTCAAACAAACTAACAAAATATAGGCACCCAAATCATTGGGTGCCAGTTCAGTGGTCTAAAGGTTAAGCGGTTACCGAAAAGCCTCTCTAGGGTTTGATCTTAGTTGGAGTAATTGAAATAATTAGCTGAGAAGGTCAATCCTATGACCAAATTGCTATTGAGTTCTTCCTGCTTTTCAATGGTTTTGTAAATAAGATCAGTCTGTAAAATTCAATACCCCCTATAGCAAGAAAAAGTAATTTTACAACTTTATTATTTGTACTAAATAATCATAACCGAAAGAAATAAGTACTTACTAATAGAGTAGTTTTTTATAAAAGGATTTCATAAATATAGAATGTAGCTATTTAGGGAACAGAAAGAATAATTATCTTGGAACGAAAAATGGTTTACATGTTTTACTTAGGCACTTTGGGAAGTTAAAGAGTATACATAGACTAAAATACCAATTTAAGAAAATGTAGGGATGAAACGTTGTGAGAAAAAGTAAATATAACACTGAAAAAAGATATAAATGGACAGTAAGCTAGTCGTTTTATATCAAATGAACTCAGATGCAATAGTAAAAGATCACGTTCTCCTATTCTGTTTAAGTGGGTCTATCAGTACACACATGTAAAATAAACTATAGGGATCTTCAACTTATACAAATATCGTATCTGTATTTCTTTTGTTCGTAGGTTACTGGTATTCGATCATAGGTGTCTATGAAGCATTGCTTGTGTATTTCGGGACCAAGGAATAAACAATCTATGGGTTAGGAATAAAGTGCTAGGTAAAGATTGAAAATAGATCAGAGAGGTCGTAAATCTCCGTCAACTCAGGTGGTTGGGACATGTGTTACGTATGACCAACAGCCACCTACCTCGAAGGGCGTTATTTTCTGGTGCAGGAGTGGGCTGAAAGGAAGCTGCGGATGGCCAGACCAATTAGTCCACAAAGTCACTGACAATTAGACTTAGCAATATCAATAGGTACAGACTACCTGGTTGAGGTCCTCATGATTGTCGAAGCTAATTGTGAGAGACTTTGAACGACATGGCTAGAAATCGTTTACAATGAAGCAAGTGTGTCCATTCTTTGTCTTCACCTAAATTCCGAGATTCTAAATTCCTCATAACGTTTATGTTTACAATTATATTGACATTAAACTTCTCAAATTATACCAAAAGGAAACGAATTTAAATTGATTGAGTTTTCTATGACCTTTTCTATCAGCATAATCTGCAGAGAATTCATCGAAATGAAATAAGCTACATTTTGGTTTGTTTGCCGTAATTTTACGGTGTGACTATAGTCAAGCCGTTGTAAACATTTACCTCACGTTTTGACAGCAAGTGATTCAAATAAGTAACAATTCCTCTGCACACAATATTTAAGAAAAGCCAAAATACATATCACTATTTAGATGTCATGTGATAAAAAACAAAAAATTCTTACTACAACCGATAAAATAGAGTATATTATCTTACGGTAGTACGTCTACTAGTGTGATAATACTGAATCTCACCTGAATGAGCATCTAGATGCGATTTCAATTAATCATCTATTAGACTACTGAATTGATGAGTTACTACTAGTATAGGGGACCTGTAGTGACGGTAGAATTTTCATAGTTTAAATCACAAAGTATGAAAATCAGTAAAACCATTAACGTATGATATGAGATTACAGTTAAAATCCGAACATTTGTACTAGGTAACATTGTATGTTACAAAATATAATTTCTAACTTACCTAAAAACAAACTCCTTTCATGTAGAACATATGCAGCACGTGTAATAGCTTCTTGCAAACTTATCTGACGTTTATCTTTTAACAAACAGACAACCAATTTTAAACATATTTCTGCTGGAAGTGTTTGATATACATACGGATTACTGAATAAATGTTGATTATTTAAATTTAATGTGATGTCTGTACGATTACTTGATAGATTTGATACTTTTCTATCAGTAGAATTATTAAGATTATAGCTTGTGCTTCTTGAAGTTTTGGATAAAAATGGTGATGATAATGAAGGCTGAATCTGCGGTATTATCAAATATCGAGGTGAACGTAATAGAATACTTCTATGTAATTTTGTATAAATGTGTTGGTTGAAAGTCGAAAGTACAGATGTTGGTGGAGGAATAACTTGTCTTATTAAAATTTCTTGGTTATATGTCATTATATCTAAACTCCATCGCAGACATTCTTGTGCACGAGTTCTTCCAAACTTCATTCGAAGAAAGCTTGATGTTTTTTTCAAAATAAATGAGAAATGTAATTATCGAAAGCATCAAAAATGTAGTGGCAAAGTATGTAACAAAAGGGCAGTTAAGGAAGGCCCTACATTGGATGGTTTAAGCATGAGTGAGAATACTTTACTAGCTCTGTGAAATATTAAGAGCTTTGTAGCAAATCACTGCAATTTTTCTTCATTTGTTCAAATCATGTTTTTTGTTCAGAAGAGTGGCTCAGCATTTTATGAAAATATTGAAAAGTTTTCTCGTACAAAATTAAAATGCGATAATCATTAGATATATTAAAATTAGTTTAGCCGGGAGCACAATTTAAAACTAGCTGGTTTCATCTAATAAGACATATTTTTAAAGCCCAATGTCACATATAACCGTGTCAAAGTATAACGTACTACTCACTCAGTGCTTCTAGGAAAACGATTATATCATTTATTTTAGAGCTATCTTCAGGATGTTCTGTTATAACTTGTGATCACCGACTAGAGGGCAGTGACTTATCGATCGAACCAAGGACGCGTAAAACCGTATGAGCAGCCTAGAGTCATGATTGGTCCTGCTTTCCGCCTAGCCCAGCAAGTTAAGTCCACAACACCAGTCTCAGCCTCTGCAATATGAATCATTATATTTCAAACATACTGAGTTTATATACCAATCAAACAGACCACAACGTACCAATAAAATATGAAACAACATTTGTACAAGAATTAGCCAGATGTGGCTGTGAATGAGGGACGTAGTAATTAATATACTGGGTATAATTCAAGAATGGTAAAACTTATAATAATAGTTTATGGGTCAAAATAAAGCTCATAATAAGAGGAATATGAATATGCATAGTTTAGTTACTTAATAATTATACAATAGAAATATACGTTTAGTATTGGTCCATCAACAGATTCCAAAAGTTGCCATCCTTTATTCTTGTCGGGACATAACATGTTCTAAATAAATAATGGAGACGACAATAAACCACTATGCACTGTGCTGTAGACTAGGAATAATAGGGAGGAGATTCGAAATAATTACTGTATCTAATGTATTCTCTTTAGAGCTAACAATGTACGAGTGTAATTTTCAAGGTCAATCCGTGCTGGCATACTAATGAAAAGTACCCTCGGTCAACAGTCCTAATGTTCAAAAATACACAAGTCGATACAACTAACGAATGCTTTGTAGATGGCACAATTTTAATCTACTAACCAATAATAAAAATACTATTTATGGTCAGATTAATGATAAATGCGACTGTACAGCTTCAGAAGATATTTACCAAAACCAGAAAGAAAATTTTGTTTGTATCGAATATCTGTTTTATTTGTTATATGATTGTTTATTTGCTAAAGGCGTAGTGAAGTTCAAATATACTGTAGCGTAAAAGAATAAATAGAACATTCAAGAGATGACCTACTACTGACCTACTTCCTTCATGTATATCGGGGAATTTATGTAATATTAAAGATTCCCATCGTAAAAAATATAACAGCACATAAATTGCTGTGATTGTTTCGAAAGTTTCCATACAAGCCTGATGACTTTAATTGCAAACAATATTGTTCGCTTATATGTGTTGTTTCAATTTAGATAAAATAATAGAAACTAAGATTTTCTATACATCTGGTAGTAAACGCTTACTCTTGTAATTTTTGGCTAGATTATTTATTGTTTGTTCTTTTTGTCTCCAAGTTATGTAAGTCTTCCTACAGATGTGTATGACAACAGGCTCATTTTTAATCGGAAACGGTGCACTCCTCATTCTATTTTCTTGGGTAGTACAGTTAATTTTTCTTCTAGAATCCTCCACACATCATTAAAGAAGTTGGATATTGTTGGTTTTATTCCTAACTAGCCATATACTTACTTACGCCTGTTACTCCCAATGGAGCATAGGCCGCTGACCAGCATTCTCCAACCCACTCTGTCCTACTCTGCCTTCTTTTCTAGTTCCATCCAATTCTTGTTCATTTTTATCATGTCTATTTCCATTTCTCGGAGTAATGTGTTATTTGGTCTTCCTCTCCTCCTTTGGCCTTGAGGATTCCATGTGAGGGTTTGTCTTGTGACGCAGTTGGGTGCTTTCCTCAATCTGTGTCCTATCCACTTTCAGCGCTTCTTCCTGATTTCTTGGTCCGCTGGGATCTGGTTTGTTCTCCCCAACAATAGGTTGTTGCTAATAGTGTACGGCCAACGGATCAGAAGTATTTTACGTAGATAACTGTTAATAAACACTTGTATCTTCTGGATGATGGCTTTCGTAGTTCTCCAAGTTTCCGCCCCATACAGTAGAACTGTCTTGACATTTGTATTGAAAATCCTGACCTAGGTGTTGGTTGACAGTTGCTTTGAGCTCCAGATGTTCCTCAGTTGTAAATATGCTGCTCTTGCTTTGCCGATCCGCGCCTTCACATCTGCATCAGATCCATCCTGTTCATCAATGATGCTGCCCAAATACGTAAAGGTTTTTACATCTTTCAAATCTTCTCCGTCAATTTAACATTAAAAATTCTATCCTGTCAGAAAGCCCAAGGCGCTGCTCAGACAAATGAGACTGAAGCCTTTTACATGATCATCCACTTAAATTGATTCCAAAAGTTTTTCATAAATATTATCGAAGTTTCAGTTTATTACTGTCCATTATAGTATAGGCAGCCAGTTTCATTTAATATGTAATTAGTTTAGTGCTAGAAGTAAAAATTTTGCTAACCGGTATTACATAATAAGAAAGGAAATTCAAACGCTATACATAAAGTTGCCAAGAGAATAAATTTCTGAATATTCTTCATTTCATGTGACCAGTTATACGGAGTTGCAAAGACGTGACTTTCGTCTTTGCATAGTAATTTGACTAACAGCTAAGGCTTTTATACATATTCTGGATCATATCAGGTTGATAAATCGATGGACAATCATTTGAAAGAATTCAACCTATATCCAACTGATACGGCAGAGGACTATATCAAGTTACATCTTTTTGATGGTCGATGATCGAAAAGGTTTATATATCATTCTTTCATTCGTGACACGACAACTTATTAATAACGTTTTTATCAAAATAGTGGTTATGAGCTACTGGTGCTTTTGAGATCAACAGTGATGGTAGGTCTTTTGTTTGTAAGCACTGCACTGTTACACTTAGTATGGTTTATCATTTAGAATATGCCTCAAAGAAATTATTTTTTATGTTTGGTTATCGGTGGCCATCACATGGGAGCTCTGAATGCACTAGATATGATGTACTGCAAAGTTTTATTGTAACCTGATCGACTAAAAGCTATCAAAACCAGAGACCAGACATGATATTAGTAAATATATGGTTGTAAGTGGCTGATAAGAAACCATGAAATATGATGAATTCTTATTATTCTCGCTCAATTGTTGTTTTACCCATATTCAAATTCGTAAAGGGAACCAATTTAATGAAAGATCGGGAAATATTTAGCGATCCATTAATGTAGAAAAAGGCAGAAGACACTGTCATAATCTAAAGTTGTATTGATGATACCAACAAGGGATTTATGCCTTCCTACTTCTACTTTAGAACATCTTGAGACCCACCGATTTCTCTTTTCTCTGTGATTCTGAATAGATTATAAGGTTCACAATTTTAAATAAAGAATTTTGGTCAAGCTGATTTTTTTGTCGGGTTCATAAAAGGATTACTAACACTTCGCATAATCTACAATGTTTGGTCATTTGAACCAAAATGAGGATGTAACTGAATTACACATCTAAATTAATTTTCTAGTTAGTGGTATTAACACCTTGAGACGATCGTGCCTAATCAGTTTGTAAATTTGTCGTTAGAATCTACAAATTGTTTGGTTAATTGCCTGAATTTTCTAGTATCCTAAAATGTCTTGATTTTGACATTTCGATAACATATTTATGTATATTATGATACTCCAATTGATTTGATAAATTACTAAATTAACTGAGGTTGCAGAACTAATGTTTTCCTGACAAAACAAACCCTTAAATCTCAACAAAACAGATTTTTGAAGACGGGACTACTAGAAACTGGGTATGCGACTATATACTAGGATATTAAAGTTATTATTATTATTATTATTATTATTATTATTATTATTATTAATGGCTTTATTCAATATTATATTTTGGTACAATATATAATTTCTCAGCACAGGGTATTTCAACAAGTTTCTTACACAAAAAAAGAACGGAAACAAAGACAAAAAAAGGGAAAAAAGGTTTAAAAAAATCTGAAAAACTATACAACTTTTCAAATTAGAGACATGTTAAGAATGCAGTTTATTGACTAGGTTAACTCTAACAACCTGTTCGTCACAGAGTATATTTGCTAGGTAAGGTACTATATAACTTTTATACTTTTGCTTGCGTGCATGGATTTCAATGTAATTACGTCTCGTTCTATCAGAAGATACATAAGGAGAAAGATAAGAGTGAAGGGGATGTTTAGTATCTGATAAAATAACACCTGCCAGGAGTTTGCATGACTTTAGATGTCTATCCACAACCATATTAATTATGATCTCGAAAGATTCACCACACATCTTGCTAACTGCCTTCAGCACTCTCTGCAATACAGCAAAGTCTTTCCACAAAAGGCCGGGAAAGAATAATGGAGAACAGTAAAGAATAATAGGTAATATGCAAGAATTGACAAATTGTAAGAGTAAATGACGAGTAATCCCAAGAGCATGCAATCTCTTTATGTAGTAAGTGAGGTGGAAAACTTTCTTTGATAACAATAAAACGTGAGAAGACCAAGAGAGATCAGAAGAAAAGGTGACACCAAGATACTTGACCTTCGACATTGTGTTTATCAAAGAGTCTCCAATGGCACAAGCATTATGGGATCTCGAAATGGTGTTTAGATGCCGTTCATGTCTCATGCTAAAGTTAACACCTTGACATTTAGACGGATTAAGCGTAAGACCAATACCAACAGACCAACAATCAATACGAGACAAAAACCCATTCATTTCTGTGGGATGTAAAGAGGAAGAGATAGGCATACATATAGTGAGATCATCCGCATATTTCACATAAGTGTTTTCTGTGGAAGATGGCAGATCATGCAGAAAAAAGAGAAAAGAAGAGGTGAAAGAACTGCTCCTTGTGGTACACCTTCATGAGACAGTAGAGACTCTGAACACTTTCCTCCAAATACGGTGTACTGTTCCCTTCCAGAGAGGTAGGAACATAGCCAGTTGGTTATCCAGCTGTCAGTGTTGACGCTGATTAACTTGTTAAGTAAACGTTGTCTTGGTATAGAATCAAAAGCTGAAGTATAGTCCAGAAAAGCGCATCATACATACTTCTTACCCTTTTCTAAGTTGAACACTGTATTATATAATTATTATTAGTATCACTCATAGAAGGTATGTAACTAAAGAGGCAGACTGTGACATAAGCTGATAGTTTTTGGTGTAGTAATAATTTCGTACTAAAAGTCGGAAATCTGGTCTTGGCGGTTGGTTATGCTGATAAATAATCATAGACTTAAATATACTGCGGTAGAAGCTCCACTTGACGAAGTCACTGGTCGATTATGTGTTGTATCAAGAGATACACGTTTCTTGCATCTGGTCCACTAAATAATAAAAATTATGGACATCCAAGGTGACTTGGTTCAAAACAAATCACAATAGTACAGTCGCATTCACTCTATCTTCCATTGCATCTTGAGTATTTCATAACTCTTCACACACAGCCTTTTTATTGTTCTTTTAAACATCTTTCCATTGTTACTGATTTTATTTTTCGGAAGTGCGGTTTCCTTAACACGTATGAACTCGCCAAAGTGCGCAGTTTTAGTAAAAATAAAAAAAATATACTGAAAAATGTGTGAAATATGTAGATTTCTGAATAAAAATATAATAAGTAATATTAAAGATGGATGCATCTGTGCTATCATGATAATGTCGTGGGATTTATGGGTCATGGGGATGTGTGCCAATGTAGAAGTAGCTTGGAAAAAAGCTAGATCTTCAAAAATTCCGACTTCTAAAGCGCCACGAACCCAGATGACTTATCTCCAGCTGTTTTAAGGGATAGCGATGTACTTTTGACTGAATTGTTCGGAAATATTTAAGAAATATAAAGTATCCCGACACCATGAAATAAAGTGATGGTCGTTTCCATCTTTCAAAAGGGCCTAAGACATTTTTACACCCATTATCAGGGAGTAAATCTACTTTCAGTTGTTTCCAAGCTATTGGCTTTTGTCATGCTAAGCAGATTGTCCAGAATGAGTGGAAGACTGACTCACAAGAAGTAGGCTATTTTTCGTCTAGGACATGGATACATTAATTATATCTTCACTCTCCACCAAATTCTAGAACACCTGCATACGTATCGCAAGCTTACAATCGTTCTTTTTATTGATATCAAGACCATCTTTGATCCGTCGCTCAGAAATAAGGTTTTGTTGAGGAAGAGTGTGCCTGAGAAGTTTATTAACAGCTTGAACGCTCCGTGTTCAAACATGGGTCAGGGTAATGCATACAACCACCTCAGTTTCATTCAAGCAATAGAATTAGGTGGATTTGACTCATCTTTAACTTTGACGTAGTTGATGTAGGTAATGGTGGTCTAGATTGGTTACTGGGAGAAAGACTGTTCGACGTTGTGTATGCGGATAATGTTTTCCTTTTGTGAGGCGATACTCGAACCATGCAGTCCACGCTTAATTAATATCCGTCAGTAATAGAATGTGCTTCTCACCTTCTGAGTTCAAAGTGCTTTTATGAGACTGGAAGGAGTCTGTACCTGCGATCACTCTACCATATTGAGCAGATAGGATTAGTCGAGAAGTTCATGTATCTGGGTAGCTGTGCAAATCCTGGTGGTAGGGTGAGTGATAAGATCAATGAACATACACTGGGAACCAGATTGGTTTATGCCAATCTGGGCCATCATTGGCGCCTTCATGACACATGACACACCTTGACATTTAGACGGATTAAGCGTAAGACTATTACCAACAGACCAACAAAGGTACTATATTCAAGCAAAATAGATTGGCTATAAGTTCATTGTCTGTTAACAGATGAGTTAACCATAGATGAAAATAAAGATTATTGAAGAATCAAACAACAGTTTATTGCTTATATTGGTCGTAAAAACTTATAGGTCGTCATTAATACTTTTCTGTTACTGATCTAACCTCAATAACCATTAAAATAAAATCAAGCTTATGATTATGATAATTTTGGAGTGTATTTGAAGTCTAAAGGTAGTTGAGTATGCTTTTTATGGATAGCGTATTAGTTAAAGTTGACTGGACAATAGTTGGATGATAATAGAACTGCTTTTCAATATATATTCTAAGTATTGTTCCTTTAAATTAGCATATGATCTTATGTTCATCTCTATTTCTTATTCATTAGCTAACTATTTATTCACAACTTCATGTTAGTCTTTCTAATATCTTAGTTATGTTGCGGATATATCGCATTTGCTGTGGCCAAATAGCACAAAATCAATTTAAAATATTTGCCAAATAACTGTTTAATATGATAGTTATTTTTCATTTGTGTAATTCAAAAGTAAAAATATTTTCTTTAAATTAACATACTTTATTTCATCTAATTCATTATTATCACCATTAAGTGGTTTTTGTAAAGATAGTGCTAAAATTACTAGCCATTCAGCTATCAAAGGATGATATTCACCTTGATCTGCCATACATTCACTTATAGCCTGAAACATTAGAAATTCATGTTCTTTTGTATTCATCTGTAGCAGTCTGAAATGAAAAGAATAAATGTATAAATTAATAAAGCTGTTACATAATACTTAAAGCTTAAAGTTAATCTCCCTAATAAACCATTGATTTTAATAAGATATCTGAATGTATTCAAGATATAAAAAGAACTCGATTACATGGTGTTTATTTTGACTAAGAAACTACAACTCTTATCTTCAGGTTATGAATCAGCGATTTACAGGTCTACTCAAAATTCTAAGAGGTCATTTTTTAAATAAGATAATTTGGTCTAAAGATGATCAAATAGTGAAACCAAACATTCCGTATAAGTTATAAGGACTGAATTTAACGGACTAAGAAAAGTATTTTATCTTTCCGTTCTTCTTAAACTGAGACTCAAAGAGCTTCATAGTTTTCGACAATCAACAGAACTTAACCAGTACTGGATTTATGTGAATTAAGGCAGGTTTCCTATAATGACTAATGTACAGAAGATTCATTGAACAACCAAGGATTTAAGAAAACAAATAAATGACTGATTATAAGTGTTGAAATTAATATACTCCGAAATTATTGACTAACAGTATCATAAAAGTTATACAATCGATTGATCACTGAGTAATGATCACTTTCATGTTTGCGTAGTCTTTTTAGTGCTGACTGAACTCTACTGATCAGGTTGCAATGTGGTCACTAGTTTAAGTTAATCGACATCGCAACCATTATTTTAAAATGTAAGGTAGTTGAATTTAGTCTACAGAAAACCCTGAATCAAAATTTCGTGCTAGTTACCACTCACTGGCAAGGTATACGTTAAATGTTAAAGGGCTTGATGCTTTCTAACGGATTCTATCCCTGGTCATCCAGTTTCATGGACTGAGACGATATCAGTAAGCTATTTAGGCCGTCAATGACTTCTTGTAATTGAATGATCTAGTTATTTGATTGATAAACATTTTTATTTATTTTAAATCTGAATTTCAAATCTGAAAATGTATACAATAATATTGGACAATTAGTAATAAATATGATTTTGTAGTCTGTTTAGTGTTTTTAAATATTTAAAAATTAAACGTATTTGGATTTCACCAACTAACGGTTGAGAGAAATTACAGATAATTGCTTTAATTTCAATGGTGAAATAGTAGCTTGTATATTTAGAAATGTTAAAAGTCAAGAAATATTTTAACCATTGAAGTAAACTTAACTTTAGGACGATAAATTTAGTTGACATGAAACATGTAAAGTATTTACTAAACAAAATGATCCAAAAGAAGCTAAGAGATTAAATTGAAGTAGGTTATAGACCACTCTTCGAGGAAACTAAAAATTAAATATTGGGTTAGGCTGTATGAAAGATTTTTATTAACTGGTTGTTTAATATATACTAATTAAAGTTAAAATACAAGCATCTATTATTCTCAAAATTTCACAATAGACAGTGTATAAAGAAATATTATAGCCTAGGTGTAATACCAGTAGAGCTTAATATATGAAATATGAACTATACTGATTCAAACACTTCAATTAATTACTGATAATTACCATGTGCTCACCAGTGACTAGCTTCGCGAGGGAATTCTCGGAGTTCTAATGAGAAGCTGTAACCAGTGGAGCTAATCCGTGTCGGGTAGAGACAGGTATCTACCTCAGTACAATAGAAGATTGTCGCGCAATTGCGTGGATTGGTTGAAGTTAGACATTAACACCACTGAATGCCGGCTCAATGGTCTAGAGGTTAAGCGTTCGTACACGAGAATAAAGGCCCTGGGTTCGAATCCCGCGAGCGGGATCGTGGATGTGCACTGTTGAGGAGTTACACAATCTGACGAAACGGCCATCCAGTGTTTCCAGGTTTACAATGGTGGTCTAACATCAACTGGTTCATGATCTCAATCAAAAAATTAATGAAGTATTTATCTTTCATTTAATCGTAATTTCTATCATTAAAAACAAAAACTAAGAAAATCATCTATTAATGTAGCTTTGTGATGACTTCTACTAAAACTAAAATCAGATAACCATACAAAGTATTCGATGTGTTCACAAAACAATATCATAAATTACACCTTTAAGCAGAATAATAAATCATTCATTCAATAATCAACTGATCTTATATGCTTACAAGTTTTATTACAATTCCAAAACTATTTCAATAAACAAATCGTTTATTAGCTTACCTTATTTTAGCTAAAAGATACATACTTATAGCCAATAATGTTCTATCTATTGATTGAGAATTGTATTGTTTAGTCTCTTGTATTGTTTGACAAATTTGATATTCAAATAAATTTAATTGTTCATTACCGCTTTCTGTCAATCCAATAAGAGATTCTAGTCGATACATTTTAATATAAGCTGTAAAATAATATGCATTTTTATGTTTTAGGGGATATAAAAAGTAACACTTTAGAACGTTTAGTAAGAAAACAGTTCTTAGAAAAGGTTAAACATGTGAAAACGTATTAGATATTATAAACAGAAAGACTATTGAAAATTAGACAGATAATCTATCGACACGTTCTTAGCTTTGCAAGAATCATGTACACAAAAATTAACTTTATCAGCTTACTTCATAAGTCACTGGTTTCTTTTATAGAGTTAAATTCAGAGGCATTTCACATCCATTGGATAATTTACATTGTCCCATCAACTGCTCTCATTAAATATTATAAACATAGGGAATTTTTGACATAAAGGTTTTTGTCCAAAAATACTTGAAATATTCTAGAGCCTTCTTATAAGTAACTATGTACTTTGTGGTGGACAGATGTTTTTCTAAAATAACTTCAAAAAGTGAATCCACAAATGGGGTCTTTAAAGATTCCAGTTCATGAAATGAATTTCTTCACAAGTCGATCATCATATAGTAGACCTTAAGATTCATAGGTTATCATTACTGACCAGGCTTATTAAAAAGTTCAGTTGTCCCAATTGCTGTATTGTCTGTGTAATCCCTTAGTTCAGATGCTTTTCAGATTTATTGTACAAATGTAGCGAAGATTTCAGTCTCTTATTTCACTAATTACGCACTAATTATGTACGAGACTGAAGGTTATCAATATGAGAAACACCTATTAGAAATGATAACCTGTTCTATTCGGTCCATGTTAATTACTGGAATGTAACATATATTAGACAATGACAGACTGCAAATTTATCTCAATCATAAATTAATTTCCTAATATTGTTTCATATTATTCACATCGGTTCTGTCTAACTTTATTTAATCTTTTGTAGTGCATTTTCGCTGTTACAAACTTCGTTTGACACTTTTCATCTTACAATAACACATGTATCTTAGGTACCGCTTTACGCAAACATTAAAATGAAGCGAAATATATTGTGTTCGGGTCTCGAAGTAAATATCAAAAGTGGGGTTCAAACATATCCAGCTGATGAGTTCTGAATAGAACGGAGTTCCCGACATGCATTCCATTGCTAAACACTATCAAACCACTGCTTAAGAACTCAAATGCCGTTCAAAAATAAAGTTCATAAACGTCAAAATATTGAGATGAAATGTAGAATATATTGTACAACCTCTTTCCAAAAGTAAAAATAATAACTCCTCAGAAAATAAGAGATTATTTACATATAATTCATATTATAGTATTTATTAATCACAGTCGCATGGCTACATGAAGAAACTTCACAACATACGCTTTTGCGTAAGTATAAATATTGTCTCCTTGTGTCAGATTAAATGTAACTTGAATTAAATCCGTCCTGAGTCATGACTGTCAAACTAAGTACCCAAAACGAAAGATTTCTAGCTTAAAATGTTTATCAGTAAGACGGAACTTAATTTAATTTATTCTGTTGCTGAACATAATCCTCTTGATTAATGCTTTTGAAACAGTTGCCGCTTTAATGTGACAGTATGCTAAATATAACTAGATAAATCAACAGGAGCTATTGAGTTCTATTTTGTTATTATTGATTCATCAGACTGTCTCCGCAACAATGCCAGAATGTTTGGAACGCGCTTCTCTCCCTCTAAATGCAAGTTGTTGCTTCAGGACTGGTCTGCGTCAACACCTGAACTAAGGATAGGGAGTGCAGTAATCGAACGCGTTGGCAACTTCACTTATCTTGGAAGTCTGATCAGTCCTAATGGGTTGGTGTCTGACGCAATCTCAGCACGGATTCGAAAAGCTCGATTGGCTTTTGCCAACTTGCGTCACCTTTGGTGAAGGCGAGATATCCGTCTATCAATAAAAGGACGAGTATACTACGCGGCAGTCCGTTCTGTTTTAATTTACGGCAGCGAAACATGGCCATTAAGAGTAGAAGACACTCGTAAGCTATTAGTATTTGACCACAGATGCCTTAGAAATATTGCTGGCGTCTGCTGGGATCACCGGGTAAGTAATAGTGAAATTAGACGCAGGGTATTAGGGAATGATGGTAAATCAGTTGATGAGGTTATGAATCTTCATCGACTGAGATGGTTGGGCCACGTATTACGTATGCCTGAACATCGACTACCACGACGTGCAATGCTATCCGGTGTAGGGGATGGTTGGAAGAAAGTTAGGGGTGGCCAAACCAAAACGTGGCATCAGTGCTTGAAGTCACTAAGATTTGGTCTGAGTCATGTTGGCAGATGCAGACTACTTGGTTGGGGTCCGCGTGACTATCGTAACCAATGGTTGGAGACTCTTGGTGACATGGCTCAGAATCGATCACAATGGCGTCGGTGTATACACTCCCTGCCTTCCCTTAAACTAAGAGATTAAAATCACTTCATATCTTTCTTTCTACGTACTAAATCTTTCTTCCTGTACTATGTCTTTATATGCAATCTTTCTCTTATATATTACCACCTTTGACCCAACCACTGCTATGAATCCGGTGTGCATCTTGTTGTGCTGATGCGGTATCGCAACCTGGACCGATGCACATATGTGCCTGGTCCTATGTTGTAGCTGACTGACTGACTGAGTGACATCAGACTGTCTGTTTCAAGCAAAAAAGCTACATATTAATAATGGTAAAAATTCATTATATACCCAAATTCACTATAGTTAATTAAATCTATCAATTAATCAATCAAATAGTATGCTTTGTTACTTTCCTAGTTTTCTTTTTGAATAAAGCATGAATGATATGTGCAGAATAAAATGAATTCATTTCATCTCAAGACTTCTCATCAGCTACAAACGGCCTAAATCTATAATAGGAATGTTATATTCAAAAATGTTATTACATACCTTAATCTATAAAGATTAGTTCGAAACAAAACAAATGGAAACAATATATTTAATATTATAGTCATGATTGATTGGTATATATACAAATGTATAGCTTAAGTTAATGATTTCACCGAAAACAAAATTTTCTTCACTGAATTCTCATTTTCTTATTCAATGACATTATGGGTTATTTTAATTATCTGGTATATATATATTGAAGATGAAATCATAAAAAAACGAGTAGGGGGTTGTTAACTTGTAAGTTATAATAGAGTGACAATGAATAATAACAAACTGTTACCAACTGAATGATAAACAAGGCACTTATTTAACATAAAACTAAAGTTAACGTCTTAAGTGAATGTCAATGGGATATTTAAGAAATAATGTAAATAACAAGCATTAAAATAATATAACTTTCTTGTTATAGGTATATCTGAAGGTCAGTGAGTGTATTTTATTAAAATAATAATTAAATACCATTAAAGTCATATTATAGAAAACATATACCTAAAGCTGTGGAAATCCTTTGTTCCAGGAATCTGGCTTCATCTGTATTACATAACGTTGGCATAGATGATTCTTTTAGCCATTCTGTTATCATCATTTCAGTTTCATAAATGATAGATTGATATAACATAAAATGATCGTCAATTGATTCATTCACTTCATTTCTTAAGTAACGAAGTTTATTCACAACACTTAATCCTAGGTGGCTCAACTGTAAAATATCTGCCTTACAGAGAGTTTTACGCTGTGAAAGAAAAAAAAGTGTAATTGTAGTCTAAATGATAATTTAACAGAAGAATGATGTTTAAGTTTGATCAAATTTATTCCAGTACAGAATGACTTTCACTACAAAAATCTCATAAAATTTGGTTTAAATGAGATTTATTCTATAAGGATTTTTTCAAGAATAAAATCACACCATTAAGATATGAATCAAAAGTCTCAAAACTTCAATGATTTATAAAATTAACTTAAGTAGTAAACAATTTGTTTCACAAATTAACAGTAGAATAATTACTTTAAATTTCATATAATTTTTCCTATTTATAAACTTTTTATTTTATTTTATTTGAACACATAAATATTGGTACAAGAGGGCACCAAATATATATACGCCACACCATATTTGTGTGTGTGTCGGCTGTGATACTGTCCGGGTGCCCAGACCGAAGCAGGTGGTTTTCTTAGGGGTCCACACCCCAAGCCTTAGGCCTAGGGGTCTGACCCACAAGGCGGTGGAGCATCGTGAGGAGATGCAGTCCCATGGTAGCTAGTGACCAACGATTGGTTCATACGCCATTTGTTCCTTCAGGATACTGAAGCCCATCTACACCATTGGTTTGGGATCCGGTTAAAGCGCCGGATATCCGCTTTTCGTCCTCTTAATTTCGTAAACAACACTTCCGCCACGAGAAGGCAGTGAGTAGGACTTCCCTGGCAGAGGTTGTATACGCGTGGAGAAAAATAAATATTGTAGTATAATAATGGGTATTCAATTGCTTACAACTTAAAACCATAATAATAATTATTAAAATGAAATAAATGTACCTAATTTATATAAATGAATTCATGTTATTCTGATACGATATTTTCTTCTCTTTTTATTCAAGTACATTTAACTTAAACCATAAATGTCACCTTATTTATATTGTTTTCTCCGCCTAGAACCTCTCTAGGGCTACTTCCGGTCTCAAGCCCGGATAAAGGAGGAGGGTTAGGCCTGTAGAAAACTAACTCGCTAAAAAACGCTAACAAGTAAGTAAGTAAGTAAGATGAAAATAACACATGTAAATTCCAGGATAACAGTTAATGACAGTTCATGAAAAAAATTTACTGAAAACCATGATGCATTGGATAATTTTTTTGGTTATAATTTGGAATTTATCACCATATAGTGGGATTGGGATCAGAATGATAAAGGTTTTTTTTGAACAATGAATTACTGCTGGGCCATCAATTTTAGTTTCATAAGTTTATATATATAACAACAATTTTATGGGTTTTTTCAATATTCGGTTTGGAGATTCGCTTTGTGAAAAATTAGTTACTTAAAACAATAAATCACTGTTTAATTTAATAGACTGTATTGAGATAGTTTCCGTTAATTAGAGCTAAATAATTGGTAATCTCAGAAGGTTGATCTTTATCATAAGAAGAATGGACTATGTATACAAGGTCATAGTATTCAATAAAAAAGGCAGATACGTCATTTGCTTCTTTTCACTCAATTATTATGTAGATTTCTCTCATATATTGCCGACCTGTAACATTATTACATTAGGTAAACATCAACAACACAAAATAAGACTGCTTACGTTTATAAAACATGCAGCTAATTTTGACAAAATTTGGACAGATATTAATTCGTTACCCAAATAATATATCAGTTCACCAATAATCCATACAAGCGATTCTAAATTATTTTCACCTGATAAGTCTGTAAAAGTAAATTGATGAAACTAAAAGTTACGGAAAAATGAATGTTAATAAAATGACATAAAATTTCCAAAAATAATTTATTTCCTTCAAATTTAAAACATTTTTGATGGCAGGAAAAATGAATAATTAAATTTTATTTAAATCGTGAATCTATCTGTGTTAGACCTCCCTCAATGACATTTCACATGTGTTCACCAAAGACTAGCCTCGAGAGGAAATTCCCGGCATTCGAGTGAGAAGCCGTGACCAGTGGAGCTAATGTGGTGGGTTTGAGGCATATACTCATCGAAGACAATGAAAGATAGTCGCGCGATGTTGTGGATTAATTGAAGTTAGTTATTAGCACCGCTAGATGCCGGTTCACTGATCTAGAGGTCAAGTATTCGCGCGCCAGACTGAAGAACCCGGATTAGGTCCTCACATATGGAGTCGTGGATGAGCACTACTGAGAAGTACCGTACTAGGACGAAACGGTCTTCTTGCGCTTCCAGACTTTAAATGATGGTTTTTCTTAAATCGGTTTATGACTCAAATGAAGTTCACCAATCTTCAGAGTTCCTAACTGACCAGTAATGAAATGGCTGTCCAAATCGCATATCTCAACTTTAAACTCAATGTTAAAACGTAGCAGAAAATTATTTAAGTAGTTAAACAGAGATTTATGTGCTATATTTGTTGGTCAAATCATAAATAATGACTAGCAAGCAAGTAAGTATCATCTAAATAAATCATGCACTTCCACAAATCCTATCCTAAATACCAATTTTACGCTTTCATCAATGATAGAAATTGACTTATTAATCCTATATGTGATACAACTGAAGGTGACGTTATTGTTAGACGTATGAATCAGCACTGAAATATTGTGTTTCTTTATTCATTTTAAATAAATAAGGAAGTTTAGCTCGTAATTAAGCCGTGTCTATTAATCTTAGTGAAAAATTTCTAATATAATGAGACGTCAGTGCCAGGTCAATCAATTACTTACTATTAATAAGTATATTTAATTAGAAAAGTGAGACTAGTGTAATGAAATAAAACATATTTGTGTATTATTCACAAAACAGCACAAAATATCTGAATATATTTACAAGCAAGTAGTTGAATCTAGATTGATGGTTTATCAAGAAAATAAGAAAAACTAATCTCAGTGATTTGAATCTTGTTTGAGTCCGAGTTTTTTTCAAATATGCTCATGATATGAATAATGTTTTTTGTAATTATCATCCTGAAAAATAAGTATATATTTGCGATTGTGCAATTTTGAAAATGAATTCGCCAAAAAGAGAACTCTTCGTTGAACCAATCTTTCTTATTTAGTGTCTTAATGAGTGTATTCCGTTTACTAAAATATTCTTTAAGTTAACCGTTTTTTGTACTTTTATACGGATTACGTAGACTGACACTACCAAACCAACGTATACTTTCCTTAGAATGACGTTATGAAATAGAGCTCATTTGTAAGAAAATTATGTTGTTATCTGTCAAGCATTGCACTTATACATGGGTGTAAATAACGTCCACCGAAAACAAACATGATCAAGGAATGTGAAATAATATACCGAAATTAATACGAATATTCATCAAGATTAGAACGAATAGTTTGACAGTAATTGAGCGCCGAGTATAGAGAAGTCATTATATGTGAAAATTATATTTGAAATATTCTCAGCGATTGAAATTTAACTAATTCCAACGTTTCGTCCAGCTAACTTGTCTGGACTTCTTCAGGGTAATAATCAAAATCAAAATTATCAAAGAAATATATAGCTTTTAACAATCAGGATTATACTGTGTTAAACCAATCATATTTGGGTGTTGATTTTTTGTAAAATAGGATAAAATGAGTCAGTTGACTACAAATCATGTAGTGAATTCAACTACATGGAAATACTTAACTGAGTAACAAATCGTATGTGTGTGAGTGTGTATGTATGTATGTATGTATGTATGTGTGAGAGATTGATATGAAGGAATAAATAAAGTTCAAGTTCAAGGATGAAAAACTTGATAATGAAAGATCGATGTGCATGTCAAAACATAAATAGCTAAGTGGATAACGCGATGGCGTTTGAAGCGAACGGTACTGAGTTCGAGTCCCAGAGTGAACATCAACTCTGAGATGCAGGTACATCCAGCTGACGAGTCCCAAACAGGACGAAACGCGCGTCCTGGATTCCACTGCTAGCCACTATCCATCTTTGCTTACAATAAATTGTATTGTTTAGAAACTCATTCAGTTCTTTCAATAATAATAATAACGATGCATGTGATATTAAAAACAGGTTTAAACAAGAGATAGGTTCCAAATTTACTTGTCAAACGGAATTTGCCAGGTAGTTGCCATTTGAATACCATCTTTTCGGTTCAGGCTGTTCTTGTTCGCCCATATATGCAGAGCTTCTGCTGTCAATCTTTCTTTATGGGTGTTAAAACCTTTTTGAAGTATTTTGGTCCCTTCAAAATTAATCTTGTGTCCTGTTTCTAACGCATGTAACGCTATCGCTGACTTATTTTCAAGTTTCTTTAAATCTACCGAGGATTTTGGAACATTTTTCAAGCATTGTTTGTGTTCCTTCAATCTTACATTTAATTGCCTGGATGTTTCTCCAACATAGGTGGCATTACAGTCATGACAGTGAATCTCATACACTGTAATGCTACCTATGTTGGAGAAACATCCAGGCAATTAAATGTAAGATTGAAGGAACACAAACAATGCTTGAAAAATGTTCCAAAATCCTCGGTAGATTTAAAGAAACTTGAAAATAAGTCAGCGATAGCGTTACATGCGTTAGAAACAGGACACAAGATTAATTTTGAAGGGACCAAAATACTTCAAAAAGGTTTTAACACCCATAAAGAAAGATTGACAGCAGAAGCTCTGCATATATGGGCGAACAAGAACAGCCTGAACCGAAAAGATGGTATTCAAATGGCAACTACCTGGCAAATTCCGTTTGACAAGTAAATTTGGAACCTATCTCTTGTTTAAACCTGTTTTTAATATCACATGCATCGTTATTATTATTATTGAAAGAACTGAATGAGTTTCTAAACAATACAATTTATTGTAAGCAAAGATGGATAGTGGCTAGCAGTGGAATCCAGGACGCGCGTTTCGTCCTGTTTGGGACTCGTCAGCTGGATGTACCTGCATCTCAGAGTTGATGTTCACTCTGGGACTCGAACTCAGTACCGTTCGCTTCAAACGCCATCGCGTTATCCACTTAGCTATTTATGTTTTGACATGCACATCGATCTTTCATTATCAAGTTTTTCATCCTTGAACTTGAACTTTATTTATTCCTTCATATCAATCTCTCACACATACATACATACATACATACATACACACTCACACACATACGATTTGTTACTCAGTTAAGTATTTCCATGTAGTTGAATTCACTACATGATTTGTAGTCAACTGACTCATTTTATCCTATTTTACAAAAAATCAACACCCAAATATGATTGGTTTAACACAGTATAATCCTGATTGTTAAAAGCTATATATTTCTTTGATAATTTTGATTTTGATTATTACCCTGAAGAAGTCCAGACAAGTTAGCTGGACGAAACGTTGGAATTAGTTAAATTTCAATCGCTGAGAATATTTCAAATATAATTTTCACATATAATACCGAAATTAAGTTTACGTTTTAATTTCATCGATGAGTTTTTGATTCTACATTTACTGAAATGATCGTTGCAGTATATGTTAATTTACTATAGGCTTAAAGAAAGTGCTACTGAAGAAGATTCATTGTGCTTAAGATAAAAACTAAAGCACTCAGTAGAGGGTTTCAGAATTAACAATCGGTTGCTTAGGATGACAATATTTTTAGTCTTAATCAGTGACTATATACATTAATTTCATGAATATGTTCAGCATTTGAGATGAACGGTGATGAGTTTGAGTGTCGAAATGAACATCAATACCGGGATCCAAGTACATCTGATTTAGGAATTTAAACGACGGTCCTGAATTCTATTGATAATCACATTCCATCAATTTGGCAAAATATCCTGGCTGTATCTAGGGACTTCTCACAGAATATACATATGATAACTTAGACTGATCAAAATTCACTCAATATTATCAGTTTGTCAATTCAGAAAACAACAAATTACAGAAACTCACACTGGTGGTTTTCATTAGAAAACTTAAGCATTTCAGAACAAATTTTTATAATCTCTTTAAAACTAACCATTGAGTTGGCTGAAACTGTTGGAAATATTCGGCAAATCACTCTGAAATAAAAAGTAAAACAAACTTAATACTGATGATCGAGAAGTTGAACGGTTAAAGTATATTATACAGTGTAAATTATTGCTAACCAGATATTAAATTATGATGTGCAGTAGACAAAATTTTAGACTGACAACGTTGGTATATTCTACTCGTCTTATTTTGCTATTATGTCAAATATTGACAGTAGTCTAACATCCAGCAGAAGTTGCATTTTTGAATAAATCGGTGATCTTCAACTATTACTAATACACTTTTTACAAACTTCTGAAATGGAAGTCAACATGAGAGCATTTGAAACATATAAAACTACTTTTTACCGAGAACGTAATGTAGACAAAACAGAAACTCAATAATAATCAAAGTGATCAGTAGGTACAATGTATTAACTGTTATCTTCAGTCCTCAATACCCATAAATCTTGTTTGGATAACTTACTATTTGATTCAACAACAAAAACTTTACCCGTTTTTTAATGCTTAATTTGTTTTCCCGTCACTAAAGTATATTAACGAGGAGTTCTCTAAAAGTGTTCCGTTGCTTTTAGGATCCACCTTCTTGAGTTTAGTTCTGGAAGGCATTGCTCGATAATTCTAAACACAATGAGTTTGTAAACTTTAACTAACTAACGAATTTATACACTAATAAGATACAAAATTATTGATCATAATTTTATCTTCCGTGTTAGTTAAAGCTCTAAAACTTGTGTTAAAGTCTGCTGGACTAAAAACAAGTATATAGATAGTATATTGATAATTTCTCTAAAATATCCAGCCAAATTAATTGGAGCCTGATAAATAATATACTGTAACTATACATACTAATTAAACTACTCGTTCGTATTCTAAATCTCGTATCAAATTTTATCAATAAATATATGTACTTTGTATATAAGAAAACCCATTATGAATAGTAATCTTTTACCTAAACATATTCAAGACTAGGACGTTAGATTTGTTTCTGTATTTTCGCTGAAATTACCTTTTATTACTTAGATATGTGCTAGTTTACGCACGTTATTTATTGACTAAAAAAGCAGTTTTCATACGGTCAAACATGTAAAGTCGTTTGCCGACTCTTTGGAACATTACAGGTGTATTGTTTTTAGCTTAAATACATGTAAATTTAACTTACACTATTTTCTTTTGCGTATTTTTTGGACTGTAGGTGATCCAAAGCTCTTTGACCAAGTTCATTCAGTTTTGTTATGCTTCTCTTCATTGTCGTGTTATTACTACTAAAATTATAACTTGTGTTAGCTGTATTAAATGCATTTTCATGGGAACAATTCAATTTTGCAGTTAATGATCTAACACCATCTTCAAATGATGAAGATTTATTATTATTTTTGCCATTTTGGTGAAATTTATCAATCAGCATAAATGAATTGTGAATAATTTGCCATAATGCAACTAATAAATGAGAGTTTTGTATTGAACCAGTAAATATATCTGTAGTATATGTTGGAAATGCCAAACACAGAAGAAAACTGAAAAAGAAACAATACATGTTTTTTTGAACTTACGTCTTAAAACGACTTTCGGTCATGTTTCGAGATTACTAAACATATGACATTAAGGGAAGAACAATGAAGACATCTATAATAACTGCATCATAGTTTTGTAGCTAGAAAAAATCATATGAAATTTAGTTTCATTATGTAACGGAGTCAATTCGGTGACAAATGAAGTGCATAACATCAGGAAACTACTTCATTCTATTCAGCAGTTCATAAACTGCATCTTCTCATTAGGGCTGGAAAAATGAGTCACTAACATTGAGCTAACAATCATCTTAATGAGTGGTTTTAGGAATTCGACTTGAGGAAGTAAACGAATTAGAGTGATAGAATCAGTAATATCACTTAAACTTGATTTCCAAAAATATATGAAACTTTAGATTCAGAATAAAATGTTCAATCAATTGTTTCCAACATCCTAGCATCAACATACAGTGCATCAGACGACAAATTACTGAAAATGTTAGCCGCATTACAATTGAATTGATGAAAATCAGTCAGGACTGATATTTATTAATACTGAAAAACTCATTATTATGAAAGAAGCAAATGTTAACTCATTTAAATGGCCAAATTCAGATAACGTTAACTTTGAGTTATCGAGATTTACTGTTACTGAAATCTGGCTAACGGTATTATGTTATCAGAATAAAATTATTATAAACTATGTTACGACCAGTTTTTAATTTATTCAGAAATCCTCAATGTAAAAAAATGTCCAAAGGATATGTGAGTTAAATGTTTACTTATTTGGTTGCTAGCTCAATGTCAGTATAAGACGGTATAGAAGTTATTATTTAAGTCAGAAGAATCGGTGGAATAGTTCACCAAGTACTAAGTGTCGATTAAATAAAAATCCTAATGTTAGATAATTATAAAATATTTATATTTCAACACATCAGTCATTTTAAACTCATCCGATTGTATATTCTGTTTTCAGACCTACTTAAACATCCATATATCATGGAATACTAAGTCATAAAACGTGATATACACTAACCATTCAAATACTTTAACAACAATACCAACAAGTGACCCACGTAAATTTTAGACACAACACAGTGGTAATCGGAAGGTGTATGAAACGTGCTAAGATTTTATAAAATAACAAGACTTGTCTAGATAAATGTAGCTCATTGAACATTATTATATACACCTAAATTCAAACAAAAACTAACAATTTTCATATGATTAGCATCCATCATCTTATGACTAGACATGTGCAACGTATTTAAAAATAAGGGTGGTAAATGATAAGAACGTTTCGGGTGTAACAAAGATAGTATAGTTGTACCTAATGAAATGATTACAATACCAAATAATTTTGTGTTGTAAGAAATACCATTTACAAACGGACATAATTTGACTTCTAAGTTTAGTACTGCGTCTTCGACTTCAAAATAGTTTTTCGAATAGCTATGATGTATAAAGCTACAACGTTCAACCGTATATATTTTAAAGGCCTTGTAATGCCAACGAATCCTGAACTGGTAGTCCTTGGTGGTATTTTAGCTGATTTCACTGTTTAATGCAAACTAGCTTTATGTAATATATATCATAAAAGTGAAGTTTAGTTAAAACCTTAACTTGAGTTGTTACTGAGGTCTTGTCGCTAAAAAGAAGTCGCTCATGTGAACATTGTTACAAATAGTTTTTTCTTACCCGATTGTATTCAACTACTGGACTCATAACAATGAAAGCTCATTAATTTAAAATCATACTATCATTTAACATGTAAAGTTGAGTAGCTAGCTGTTTGATATTTGCTTACCATGGATGAAGTAAAATGAATTCTAGGTTATTAAGTATTATTTTAACACCATTAAGATTATTGACTATACAAATCATTTCAATTTGAGTAATAACTAAACGTGATAAAAACCCATATGTTACAGGGTAATTTGGTTTTGTTACTAAATAATTCATAATTTCAGTAAGAAGTAATATATGACGCGTATATGCGCAATTATCTGATGATAACTGACTGTTTGAATTATTAACGTCATTGCTAGTTAAAAGATCATTGAATTTTAAAGCGATGCGATAAATGTCAGGTACTAGTTGAAGAGATGCTCTTAATGAAGACGAACGTTTTATTGTAGTTGGAATTACTGCAGTATCATTATCATTTATTTTATTTAAACTTTTCTTCGCATTTGTAAATTGATTATTAGTGAAAAAAGTGTTCCCAGATTGTGTCAGAGAAAGAGCTGCTTCAATTGTACGACCAATTCTTTTAAATGTAATTTTTGGTTTTGATTTATAAAGATTACTTTCAATTAGTGATAAAGAGTAGTTTGACAATGGTTGATTAGATGTTTTTGAAACAATTTGAAGATGGCGACGTGATAAAATGTTTGACAGTGTGTTGTCTTGTTCACTTCCAGTGGACCATTTAAGGGCTGTAGTGATCAAAGGAAGATAGATCCCAGTAGCACCATTATCTCCTGAAAGAGATTTGATAGAAGTCAAAAAATTTCCATATTATTTTTATTTTATTTTAACACAGATATTGATACAAGGAGGCACCAAATAAATATGCATCACACAGATCTCATTTGATATGTGTGAAAGCTGTGATACTGCCCGGGTGCCCAAACTGAAGCAGGTGGTTTTCTTAGGGGGCCACACCCGGAGCCTTCGACCTTAAGGCCTAATCCACAAGGCAGTGGAGCATCGTAAGGAGATACAGTCCCATGGTTGCCGGTGACCAACGATTGGTTCATACGCCATTTGTTCCTTCAGGATCCTGGAGCCAGCCCATGTGCACCATTGGTTTGGAGTCAGGGTTTTTCAACTCCCCTAGGTGGACTCTCCATGTTCACCAATCCGGTTAAAGCGCTGGAAATTCGCTTTTCTTCCTCTCAATTTCGTAAACAACACCACCGCCACGAGAAGGCAGTGAGTAGGGCTTCTTCAGCAGAGGCTATATACGCGTGGCCGTGTTAGAGCATTTTGAAAGGAAGAGCGGACTCCCCTCATCCTCGGCCGTACCAAGGCATTTGGGGGCAAAAAAATCCCATGTTGATAAACAATGCAGAAATATCATGAACGAACGCAATTTTTAAGGTCTTTATTACTAACCAACCTTAGTTAGACTAGAAGTGAAAACCAGGAAGCTCTGGACAGCTTTTTCACTCTAGTATAAGACTTTCCAAAAATGTTCATCCATAATCACGTCAGATATCGAACAAGGAGCCTTAGAGCAAGCACCTAGAATTTAAACTACTGATCCAGCATTCATTGGTTTATGTTTCTAACTTCAACCGATTCGGTCTATCGCTCAACCATTTTCCTATGTTACTAGTGGATAACTATCTTACACTCGACATGATTGAAATTTTTTAATCACGGCTTCTTATGAGGGCTTGAGTACTCACCTTTCGAAATTATTCACTAATGAGAAAATGAATGGCGGATTGTTACGCAACATCTCGAATTGATTGAAGGTCCTGAGGTTTATCCATGACGAGGTTGTAGATGCTCACTATTGGAAAGAACCGAACACATGTTCAGTGTTTTCAGATTTTTATAACTTGTCACTTTTTAATCTAAACTGTGAAGTTTGACAATCTCTTTTAGCTTATATACTATGGAATTTCGCTTTTATCTAGTTTAACACACTGGCCAATGCCAAATCAAATCTTAAAGAAGCTTTATTTCTTTAAAAAATTCTAAGAAAAAATTATCCTGACGAAAGATTACAAAAGTTTTTATAAATTTTTAACTTGGTGTAAACTATTTAATTAGTGAAAATTTTAAATTTAATACTTTGCTTTGATACATCACCATATATATCCCCTTATGATAATTCTCAAATCATCTTCAGTTACAAATGATAAAGATTTCATCCCTCTTCAACTTTTCCGTGTCAATCATTTAACATCAAACCTTATTTTGATAACAAACTTTACTTAGGTGTTGCATAAAATGAAGAGTGTTAGATAAAGTTGCTTACAAGTCGTTAACAAGTAAAAATACGCTAGGATATGCAGAACATAAGTTTAAAACCTGGTCGTTCTCTTGAATGCCGTTTTGTTGTTCTTAAATTTGCCACAGGATTCTAGTGAACTTCATCTTAATAATGTTTCTACTGAATAGTTACGATGAAGATGAAGTTAGCTTAAAAATATTTATTAGGAACAAAAGCATGATTTTATTTTACATGAATCCCACCAATTGACAAAATAAACTACATGTAAAGAAGGAAAGCTGCTCATTATCAGTTTTCTTAAGTAGAAATATGGCTAAATTTTTGGCTCATTCATTATAAAGTGAACAAGATGTTAGCATAAAAGTAATTAAAAACTCAATTATGCTTTGAGAAATAATAATACAGACTGAGAAGTATGTGAATACATTTTGAGTTCATATCCACTTAATTGTATTGTCACAAATAAGTTAGCTAGTCTGAACTGATTGTTTCGGGAAGTAACTTAATAGGAAAATTGCCTCAACTGAGCATAGTTTCAAGTTAATGAAACAGCTGTCCACTAGTTAAATGAAGTTAGTCCATTTAGTGCAGTTTACTTATGATTAATGAAAATAATGTATGATCAATTATACCTATTTGTTTTAGAAAGACGTACTTACGCCTGTTACTCCTAATGGAGCATAGGTCGCCGACCAGCATTCTCCAACCCACTCTGTCCTGAGCCTTCTTTTCTAGTTCCATCCAATTCTTGTTCATTTTTCTCATGTCTATTTCCATTTCCCGGCGTAATGTGTTCTTTGGTCCTCCTCTTTTCCTTTGACCCTCAGGATTCCATGTGAGGGCTTGTCTTGTGACGCAGTAGTGTGCTTTCCTTAATGTGTGTCCTATCCACTTCCAGCTCTTCTTCTTGATTTCTTCCTCCACTGGGATCTGGTTTGTTCTCTCCCACAGTAGGTTATTGCTAATAGTGTCCGGCCAAAGGATCTGAAGTATTTTGCGTAGACAAGTGTTAATAAACACGTGTATCTTCTGGATGATGGCTTTCGTAGTTCTCCAGGTTTCTGCCCCAAACAGTAGAACTGTCTTGACATTTGTATTGAAAATCCTGACCTTGGTGTTGGTTGACAGTTGCTTTGAGTTACAGATGTTCCTCAGTTGTAAATATGCTGCTCTTGCTTTGCCGATCCGCGCCTTCACATCTACATCAGATCCATCCTGTTCATCAATGATGCTGCCCAAATACGTAAAGGTTTTTACATCTTCCAAATCTTATCCGTCAATTGTGATTGGATTGGTGCATGCTGTGTTGTATCGAAGAATCCTGCTTTTCCCTTTGTGTATATTGATACCTACTGCTGCTGAGGCTGCTGCCACACTGTTCGTCTTCTCCTGCATCTGTTGTTGCGTTTGGGATAGAAGGGCCAGGTCGTCTGCGAAGTCTAGATCATCCAGCTGCATCTTAGATGTCCATTGTATCCTGTGCTTCTCTTCAGATGTTGACGTCTTCATGATTCAGTCGATCACCAGGAGAAAGAGAAAGGGTGAGAGTAAGCAACCTTGCCTAACACCGGTCTTCACTTCGAACGACTTTGTCAACTGTCCTCCATGCACAATTTTGCAGTGTAACCCATCATAGGAATTCTGTATGATATTGACTATCTTCCGAGGCACGCCGCAGTGTCAAAGAAGTTTCCACAGTGCTGTTCTGTCCACGCTATCAAATGCCCTTTCGTAGTCAATGAAGTTGATGTAGAGTGATGAATTCCATTCAATTGATTGTTCCACAATGATTTGTAGAGTTGCGATTTGGTCTGTACACGATCTATCCTTACGGAATCCTGCCTGTTGGTCACGAAGTTGGGCGTCTGCGCAGTCCTTCATCCTGTTTAACAATACCCTGTTGAAGACTTTTCCCGGTATTGAGAGAAGAGTGATGCCGCTGTAGTTATCACAGTTGCTGAGATCGCCTTTCTTCGGTATTTTGATCAGAAGTCCTTCTTTCCAGTCTTTTGGTACTTGTTCCTCATCCCAAATCTTATTGAAGAGAATGTGGAGTATCCTTGCAGTTGCCGCTACGTCTGCTTTTAGTGCCTCTGCTGGAATGTTGTCCGGTCCTGCTGCTTTGCCACTCTTGATTTGTCTGATGGCCATGCTGATTTCTTCAATTGTTCGTGGGCCAACATTGAGTGGGAGGTCCGTGGGTGCTGCTTCGATGTTGGGTGGGTTCAGTGGAGCTGGTCAATTCAAGAGTTCTTTGAAGTGTTCTACCCACCCGTTTTGTTGCTCTTCAATGTTAGTGATTACCTCGCCTTCCTTACTTTTCACTGGTCGTTCTGGTTTGCGGCGATTTCCAGAGAGTTTCTTTGTCGTGTCATACAGTTGTCTCATGTTTCCTTCTCTTGCAGCCTTTTCCGCCGTCGTTGCTAAATCTTCCACATATTTACGTTTGTCGGTTCTGATGCTCCTCTTCACTTGTTTGTTTACTTCTGTGTATTCAGCTTGTGCCTTCGCTTTTTCTCCTCTTGTTCGACTGGTACTGATTGCTGCCTTCTTGTTCCTCCTTTCTTGAATCTTATCCAGTGTATCAACAGTGATCCATTCCTTGTGATGGTGCTTCTTGTGACCCAGCACCTCAAGACATGTTGAAGTGATTGCCTCCTTGATCCCCTTCCAGTTGCTCTCCACAGTAGTTCCTTCTCCATTGAGTAGATCATGAAAGGCCTGGAACTTGTTGCTGAGGACTATCTTGAATTTGTTAAGTTTGTCAGTGTCCTGAAGAAAGGCCGTATTGAACATTTGTGATATTGTCCGCCCCGTTGTCCATTGCTTCTTGAGTTTCAATTTCATCTTGGCGACCAGTAAGTGATGATCTGATGCTATATCAGCTCCTCTCTTGTTTCTCACGTCTTCCATCGTCCTCCTGAACGTTTTGTTGATGCAAATATGGTCGATTTGGTTTTGTGTAGAGTGATCCGGTGAAGTCCATGTGGTTTTGTGTATGCGTTTATGTGGGAATATGGTGCCGCCTATGACCAGCTTATTGAAGGCACATAGATTTGCAAATCTCTCACCATTTTCGTTTCTTTCTCCCAGTCCGTGTCGTCCCATGATGTCTTCATATCCAGTGTTATCCGTCCCAACCTTGGCATTGAAATTTCCCATCAGAATGGCCAGGTCCTTTGTTGGGCACTTCTCGACGATTGAATGCAACCTATTGTAGAATTGATCTTTAGCGTCTTCATTGTAGTCGTTGGTAGGCGCATAGCATTAGATGATGTTCATTGAAATGCCCTCTTTCTTTGTTTTGAAGGAGGCTTTGATGATCCTTGGTCCATGAGATTCCCATCCTATAAGTGCATTTTGCGCTTGTTTGGACAGCATCAATGCAACTCCTTGTGTATGTGGTGCATTTTCTTCTTCATGGCCGGAGTATAACAGGAGCTCTCCTGTAGTTAGTCGTTGTTGTCCAACTTGTGTCCAATGTGTTTCACTGATCCCAAGTACCTCTAGGTTGTATCTTCTCATTTCTGCAGCAATTTGGAAGGCTCTCCCGGTGTCCCACATTGTACGAACATTCCATGTACCTAAATAAATGGTTGCTCTGGTTGTCAGAAGGGGCATCGGCCTTGTAACTTCCGAAGGAATTCGGCTTTCATCATGAGGCGTCATAGTTCTTATAAATGAAGACCTTCTGACTCCCAGGGCAGAGTTTAAAAGGTTTGAATAATTTTTTCTGGTTAGCGTTTTTTTAGCGAGTTAGTTTTCTACGGGATGGGGACGCTAACCCCATGCCCAACCCTCTTCCTTTATCCGGGCTTGGGACCGGCAGTAGCCTCCGGAGGGACTCCAGGCGGAGTTTTAGAATGAGCTTTTGCAATAATCGATTTCGACTGAAATGTTTTCTTAATGAATCTGTCATAAATGAACCAAATAATGGTCGTACATTCAGATTTTATAGAAAAATCGACATTATATTTTATATAACTTGAAGTAACGAAAATCCCAATACAAATATCAGGAAAATCAAGTTGGACGTATAAACCATGAAACAATCATCTTCAGTTTGCGGTTACATTATATGTTTCATATAAACACTTACGTGCAAGTAACTGTCTCACTACTGAGTATATAATTTCATGATTAAATTTTAAATAACCATCAAGATTTGTCTGATGTAAAACTCCACCGTCTGTCGTTTGAGAAAATGCACCAGCACGATGTAAAATACGCAAACAGTAATAACCCAATAAAGGTGAATGCAAGGCCATTACTGTAGATGGTAATATTGACTGAATATCAAAGTGTCTTGGTAAGTTGATATTATTTAGAACATGTAGAACATCTTGAAATTTAAAACCACTATTTTCATCTTCTTCCTGGTACATGATATCGTTTGACCAAGTGAATCGAAAAGCAGCCACCAATGTATGAAATACTAATCCAACTAATCCTACTGTCCAATCTACAGAATTGGAAATCACTAAATTTGAAATGTGTTTCAATGTATATAAAATTTTACATTCAAAAAAACTGTATGAAAAACTAAAAGCATTATCTTCCTGGAAAGAATTCGTCATCGATTTTGGCATCCAGTTAATCGTACATCTAATTCAAGATTAAAACTAATTTTACAAATTAACAAGTCAGACAAAATCCTGAACAAGATAGGTTAACAATATTTTATTCGTGAACTACAGCACACAAACGATTAGTCGAGTAAACAACCATGCATTCAAAGATGCAGAACCTCATATATTTCTGTAGAAATAATGCCGCTATCGGTACTGAATTTACCTAAGGAATCACGGGAAATTCACTGTCGATGGGGATTTGTTCCTTGCTGTCATGAGATACCTCGGTAGTTGGCAACCGAAAACCCCACAGTAATAAAAACCAGAAACTATAAGGCTCCTGATGAGCTACTAAACACAATAGGATAAGTACAACCGTTCACTGATTTCAGGTAAAGAGGAGATATAATGAAGATTATCAGAATAGTAGGCCTAATTCGATAAATGATTAAAAAACTATATTTATTCATCAGTAAGCGCACGTTCCAGCGTGTCAGAAGGTTCTGGACCGCAAGATGCATCATCATAAAGAATAGATCTCTATCGAAACCCTGGCCACGATTTAAGAGAAGAACTGTTATGTCCCCGTTATCTCTCCTGCGACCAACAAGTCCCCATCGGCCACCTAAACGACTCTCTTCTGTGCCTAGACGCCCGACCTGAGGACTCAAGTCTCCAGCTAGTACTACAATATCTGTCGAACGCACTTTCTGGAGAAGAACAGATAACTGGCGGAACAAGACTGCCGCTCCTTTGGGAGTACCTATCTGCACTCTGACCATGCATTGGTCTGCGCCAATCTTGCCTTACTTTTCAGTGGCCAACAAAGTGACCGCCATCAACGGATTGATATTAGCAAGCTGGTTGCAACTTCTGTTGCAAGTAAGTATCGAACCGAGCTAGCCTCTAGGCTAGCTACCACTCCACCGAAAAGTATAGATGAGCATTGGTTGCAATTGCATGACGCCATGAAAATGGCGGGTACAGTCAGTTGTGGGTTCGCGAAACGTCCCGCTTATAAGCACTGGGTTTCTGCAGGTTCCTTACAACTACTTGAAGCCCGTCGGTCTACTCCGGGTGACCGTGAGTTTGACCATAAACGAAGGCTGTTACGTAAGGAAATTGGGCAAAGCTTGCGTAAGGACCGAGAAGCCTGGTGGTCGAAGCGTGCTAATGAGCTGGAAGCAGCAGCTGCATCTGGTAACTACCGGAAGCTCTGCCAACTCATCCGAGCCACTAGCAGCAAGAAGTCTGGTGTGAGTGAAACAATCTGCGAGGATGATGGGATGCCAATCACTAACATCCATCGACGTTCTGGACGATGGGCAGAATTTTTCGAAGGGCAGTTCAACTGGCCTGTTGCTCCGGCAACATCGGGCAGACTGTCCCGTCCTCCATGGCCGGTGGCGACTGTTCGACCAAATGAGGAGGAAGTTCGCAAGGAACGCCAACTCTTGAAGCGTTACAAATCACCTGGCCCAGATGACTTACCTCCGGCTCTTTTTAAAGATGGTGGTGACTTTCTGACTAAGGAATTGACGACGTTGTTTACAAAGGTTTGGGAGCTAGGGAGTGTACCAACGTCATGGAATGAGTCGATAGTTGTCCCCATCTTTAAAAAGGGTTCACGTCTTTCCTGTAACAACTATCGGGGGATAAGTTTACTTCCGATTGCGTCCAAGCTATTGGCTTCCGTCATACTTCGTAGGTTGTTCAAAACCCGAGAAAGATTGACTCGCGAGGAGCAGGCTAGGTTTCGCTCTGATCGAGGATGTATTGATCATATCTTCACCCTCCGCCAAATATCAGAACACCGTCATACTTATCAAAGGCCAGAAATCGTGGTGTTTCTTGACATCAGGGCTGCCTTCGATTCGTTGGATAGGACTGTTCTCTGGGATTGTCTATTGAAGAAGGGTGTGCCTGAGAAGTTGTTTAACATCCTTAAAGCCCTATATACAAACACCTCAGGCAGAGGGAGGGCATACAACCACCTCCCTCCATTGTTCTATTCGAGCAGTGGGGTTAGGCAGGGTTGCCCAATCTCACCATTCCTCTTCAACTTTGCCATCGATGACATTCTGAAAACAGCTCTGATGAATGTAAGTAATGGTGGTGTGGGTCTGTTGCCTGGAGAAAGACTTCTCGACCTCAAGTATGCGGATGATATTGTCTTACTATGCGATAATGCTCAAGGCATGCAATCCGCACTTAATCAGTTGGCAATCAGTGTCTGTAGGTATGGTATGTGCTTTGCACCTCCGAAGTGCAAAGTACTTCTGCAAGACTGGGAGGATTATAATCCTGTACTCACCCTGGATGGTGAGCAGATAGACGTAGTTGAGAAGTTCGTGTATCTAGGTAGCTGCATAAGTGCTGGTGGGGGTGTGAGTGATGAGATCAATGCACGTATAGTGAAAGCCGGAGCGGCTTATGCCAATCTGGGCCAACTTTGGCGCCTTCGCGATGTTAGCCAGTGCAGCAAAAGCCTCTGCATCACTAAGCCTCAACATACACAAGGGAAAGAGAAATATCCTCAAACACAACACAAAGAACACTAACCCAGCCATACTTGATGGAGAAACTCTGGAAGAGGTAGAAAGTTTCATGTATCTGGGTAGCATCATTGATGAACAAGGAAGATCAGACGCAGACGTAAAGTCAGAGATTAGAAAAAGCAAGGGCAGCATTCTTATAGCTGAAGAACATATTGAACTCAAAAAGACTGTCAGTCAACATCAAAGTTACAATCTATAAATCGAACATCAAGTCAGTTCTACTGTATGGAGCTAAAGGGTGGAGAACTACTACAACCGTTATCAAAAAAGTACAAGTATTCATAAACAGTTGCCTTCTCAAGAAACTCAAGGTCCGTTGGCCAGATACTAACAGCAACAACTTGCTATGGCAGAGAATAATCCAACGTACAGATGAAGAGGAAATAGGGAAAGACTCTGGCAGTGAATAGGATATACACTGCAGAAATCATCAAACCGCAATATGAGGCGAGCCCTAACTTGTGATCCTGAAGCGAATAGGAAGGAGGAAGACCAATGAATATCTTGCGTCGGGACTTGGAGGTAAGCATCAAAAGGATAGATAACAACTAGAAACGACTGGAAAAGATTGCCCAGGAAAGATTTAGTTGGCGTATTCTGGTAAGAGTGAAATCTATAGAAAGATCTGCGTGTGCTGCTTCGATGTCCGGTGGGTTCAGTGGGTCTGGTCTATTCAAGAGTTTTTCAAAGTGTTGTACCCACCTGTTCCTCTATTCTTGAATCTCAGTAGTTAGCTTTCCTTCTTTGTCCTTGACTGGTGGCTCTGGGTTACTATATTTCCCTGCTAGTTTCTTCGCTGTACTACATAGTTGTCTCATTCTTCCTTCTCTTGCAGCTTCTTCTGTTGTCATTGCTAGGTCATCCACGTATTTCAACTCGCCAGTTCTAATGCTCCTTTTTACTCGCTGCTATGTGTCCGGTCTGCGTCTTGTCTTTTTCTTCTCTTGTTCGACTGTCGTTATTTGCTATCTTGTTCTTCTCTCAAATCGTGGCCAGGGTTTCGATAGAGATCTATTCCTTATGATGATGCATCTTGCGGTTCAGAACCTCCTGACACGTTGAAGTTGATGCTTCTTTGACCCTTTTCCAGTTGTCCTCCATAGTAGTTTAGTAAATCCTGTGGGACTTGGAGCCTATTACTGAACGGTATCTTCAACCCAGCGAGTTTGTCAATATGTCTAATTTAGGCTGAATTGGATCTTCGTAGTTCTGTTTCCTTAGTTGTCCAGTGCTACTTCAGCTTCAGTTTAATCTTGACAATCCCTAGGTGGTGATCTGAAGTTATGCCAGCTGTTCTCTTGATTCTCATGTATTTCATTAGTCTTCTGGACGTTTTAGTGCTGTAAATATGATCGACCTTGTTCTCTATAGAGTGATTAGGTAAGACCAATGTAGCTCTATGTACTAATTTGTGGGGCAATATAGTGCCACCTTTAACCGTTTTGTTGAATGCACATAAATTCTCAAATCTATCTCCATTCTCGCTTCTTTCTCCCAGTCAGTCAATATCGCCCCATGATATCTTCATACCCGGTATTGTCCATTCCGACTTTGGAGTTCAGGTCTCCTATCAGAATGGTCAGGTCCTTTGCTGAACACTTCGCTATGATCGACTGCGACCTCTCATAAAACTGATTTTTAACATCTTTATTGCTATCATTGATGAGTGCATAGCGTTGGATAGCATTCATTTTGGTTTCCTCCTTCCTTGTTTTGAACGATGTTTGACGAATGTGCATCCGTGAGATTCCCATCCTATAAGTACTGTTCGTGCTTCTTTAGACAGTATCAGTGCAACGTCATATGTGTGCGAAGCAGTTTCTTCTTCATGACCAAAGCAAAATAGCATCTCTGTCGAATCTAATCTTTTCTGTCCAGTTTAGGTCCAACGGGTTTCGTTGATTCCGAGCACCGCCAAGTTGTATCTCTTCATTTCTGCAGGTATTTGACTGGTCTTTCCGGTCTCCAACACTGTCCGGACATTCCATGCACCCATATTATTTGTTGCCGCGGCCGTCAGAAGTGACATAGGCCTTTTGAGTCCCGAATAATCTTGAGTTTCACAATTAGATGTCATAATTCTTCTACATGAAGATCCTTCAATTCCGAGAGCAAAATTTAAATTGTTTTTCTGGCTAGCGCTTGTTTAGCAAGATTTTTTTCTAGAAGATGAAGTTACTGACCCAAGCCAACCCTCCTCTTGTATCCGGGCTTGAGACCAGCGATAACAGTTGAACCGCTATAGAAGGACTTAACTTTACTGTATCATATTTTCATTACCGATTGCACTGGTTTGTATTGGAACCAGCTGAAAACTTCATTTAAAGTAGCAATATTACTACATAAATTGTAAGTAACATTATTATTTAATACAAAATGAAATGAATTGCCACAATTTATTGTGCTAAACTAAATTTCAATATGAACGATTTCAAAATTAGAAGTTTGTGTAAATGAGCTATTGATTGAGATCATAAACCGATTGATGTTAGACCACCGTTGGAAACCTGGAAGCAATGGACGACCGTTCCGTCCTATTGTAGGACTCCAGTGCTTCCAGGTTTCCAACGGTGGTCTAACATCAATCAGTTCATGATCTCACTCAAAAACTTAATAATCTCCACAACCCCTATGCTGATAAATGAGTTATGTCATGCGAGAAATATTTTCAATAATGCTACCTGACACATAGAGGGCAAATTACTTTGGAAAAATGTGTCTGTACTCAATATGGTTATACTGTATATCAGTTTGGATTACCGTCATTCTTGGTGATTATGGAATTATTCATGTGACCGGAATCGCTATCTATCCATTATCATTTGTGTAAAGTCGTTATACGGAATTATAACGTAGTATGAGCATCCAAACAGTGTTTATCCATTTCCTTTTTCTGAAAAAAACAAAACTTTCAGGCACCGAGCAATAATCTGAAATTACGTATTGGAAGCATTTGTTGAACTCGTTAGTGTATTTTAGCTACATAAATCATCTAAGTTTACTGTGAGTTTTTGTTTCCAAGTAACCGCATGTTTAATTATGCCGGAGGGAAAGTCTGTCAAACATAGGTGGAAGAATGTGGGCTGCAGCGGAATTACACTTGTGATATTCGGATTCATTTCGACAGTAACATTTACTGGGAGATATTAATAGTCTGAATAAATACACAGAATATTAAACGGCTACCAACTAGTATAATAGAAATTTAGGTATAAATTTGGGAAAAGTAGGGTGAAACAAAAGAGTAAGCTTTGTTTCCTGGAGGTGATGGGTATGTGAATCATCCATACACAATTTTACTAAAATCAAACTACAACTTAGTAGCAACACAAATTAGTTAACGATTTGTGTTTATAAAAATTTTCAAGTACCCTACAGCTGTTATGGTTCACAATAGAACAGATCCAACCTTAGTTCATGATTAAAATTTCAAGATATTCATCAACGGCTAAAAGTAGTCTACTGAAAGCCATAGCAGCGCGTGGAAGGGGCTTTGTGACTAAGTATTCAAAGTCAAAGCTTGAATAACCCCTTCCAGACCAGTCCAGTATCGTATCTGTATACGTACAACATGAATAAATATTTATTTGGCCTTTGGGAATACAGCTTTTCTTGCACTTCTCGTCTTCATACTCCGTATTGCTGGTTGAACAAGCATTACTAAAAGTGAACTGTGACTGAATCTAATCGTAGTACGTAATATCGATGGTTCTCCGATAAATTTCTGTTTATGGCAAAATGCTACCCTAAATTCACAAGAATTAATGTTTTGAGGTATATCATTTCACTTATATGATTGAGTATACACACATTCAAATAAATATTATGTATTAAATTTACCTTTGGAAAGCTGTGTAGTAGATTTTTGTAGCAGAGTCTTGAAATAAATTTTATGTTCAGACATCTGCTTGTCCTCATTGTAAGTGGATAACGCAGAATATCCCTTGCTATTGTTCATTGGATTTCTTAGTGACAATTCTTCTATAGTTATAATATTGTATTCAAACTCAACTGCCCATTGTTGTAATAAACATAATAATAATTGTCTTATTGATTGCGTGGCCAGTAAACGTTCTATGTAATCATCCCAGTTATAAATATCCTTGCGATTGTTGGTTGAGTCAAAACCGAATGAAGTGATGTAAAGTTCGTGAATAAATATTTTCTAATCAGAAAATAAAATAACCATTGTTAAAGAGATAACAAATACATAATTAATTAATTAATTAGATATATTTTAAAGCTAGGATAGCTCGTTGATTTTGCAAACTACATGTATTAAATTATTAATGAACAGCTACTTCAATACATTCACACTTATTTATTGACTGAATTTGGATAATGTGATGAGAAGACGAAGGTTATCAAAATAATGTGATATGTTTGTTTTATAGACTGATATTCTAATATTTAATCAACTCGTCACTTACTGTACATGACACTTTTAAGTTTTGTAGAATACCGTTTTTACAAATCATTAAAATTGGCTATAAAAGTTGAAAATTGTCATGAACAAATCAACATTGACAAATTAATCTAAAATATCTAATTCACAAAATTTTTGCTTAAAATCAACTTAGATTTAAAGTAACTATCGTTCACTGATCTTGAATGAACCCTGAATATTCACATTGGATTTCTTGATATATTGTATGAGATTTTGCCACTAATAATATAAATAATTTATAGAAGGTAAGAGTAGGAAAGACGACTGTAATAGTACTCTTCAAATACGTATCAGTCGTATTTTAACCAAGTTGAACTATACTGCTGATATTTACTTTTCTTGATGTAATCAGTTTACTTACTCTGTAGATAAGGAGACAATAATTAAAAATAGTTTAGCAACTGAGGCTATCTGGTTTACGATAGAGTAAAATATGTAACCGTAAGCATAATATGACTCTCAAAATAAACTGTAATTTATTTTTACACGTTAATTGACTTCAAAAACCAACCCAAACGTCCCTTATCAGTAAGCCAATTCGCCCATCAAACAAATATGCTTTGGAGTAATAATAACTTAAATCAACAAATTGATTAACATGCATTAAAAAACATCAAATCATTGTTTTCAGTTTTTTACTGAAAATTTCAATTATTTTAACTTGCATGAGTGGTCATGTTAATAATTAGGTACTAAATGAGATTTTCATGAAAGATAAATATTCAATGTCTATAGCAATTAGATTCATTGATGTATAGCATTTTTCAGCGTTCCTATTCTTATATGAATCAGCCATAACAATAAATAAACAGGTTGTACTGGAAAGATAATTTCTAAAATACTTGCCTGGGCTAGAGCATTTTCTTTTAAGCACCAATATTTATATAATTTATTGATAGTAGGATTTCTTAAACGATCTTTTACAATTTGTACACGACATTTAAGCAATGAATGTAAATTGAATTTTTGATTCATTTCTGCTTCTTCAATATGATTTAATGTATCATTGTTTAATAAAGGAAAAAACGAGGAAATCAAATCATATAGTTGATTAGTCACTGGATTATTTTCTTTTAAAACCTCATTAGTTTCTTCCAAATTTCCAATAGATGTTGGCAAAATTTTCATAGACATATTCTCTTTAAGACCCAATACACTTGAATATTCAATAACAGTGACAAGTGGACATTTGGCTAGTTGATGATTTATATAATGCGATGAAGAACAAGTTAAAATAAATCGAGTTCGACTAGGTATTATAGGTAGGCCACCACTATTATTTCCTCCATATTCATTTATATCGGTTTCCTTTGTACGTGGATGACAACTGAACAACCAATCAATGCATTTAACCTTTTAGTATAGAAATTAGATACTATGAATTAAAAAACAATAAATATTTGTGTGTAGAAAAATAAATAAAAATATCATGTATACAGTTGATGTAATAGGCATTTTTTGATTACATTTATATAACTTGACAGTTTTCTTGCAATAAATTGAGGTAACACTTATTGGTTGTAAAACATGGCAAACTCAGTAAACTTTAATTTTCTCTAAGATTGTATTACTTGGCTGAGTTAATATTTTAGATCTTCGTATACCTTAACCTGTGGCAATTTCTCGGCTACCCTATTCGATTATTTATGGCACTCGCCGTTAGAATGAAAGTATATATTCATTTTGTACGTGAGAAGTGACTATCTTACCATAAAAATATAAAATTCCTGATTATCTGTGAATCTATTGCGATCACTCATTAGAGAACTTTTCCAAATAAAACTAATGAATAAAAATCCCAGAGGTGCAATCAAATAACTATTCGTTTATCGGTGCTGCATAGATAGCTCTGTTAGTTTTAAAAAGAAAGTTAAAACAGAGCCATTTGGTTTACATTTTTAACGACAACTAGCTATTCATTACCTTATTACAAGATGGAGAATGAAGTAATAGCATCTTGTTTTAAATGTTCGATCAAGGGGATGATTGGATAGATCATTCAAAAGAGGTTTATAGAGAAAATCGTCATGAAGGCAATACTCTTATTTCCAAGACTCTTCACCGCTAAAATACAAAGGAGGTTCAGTGAAAACCCTGACTTACTATGTTAAAGTGATTTTGTGGGAAAGTACTAAAAAAGTATTAAATAATAGCCGTAAACTTCTGAATCGGAGTGAAAATCCGCCTAAAATCACCAATAAACAACTTAAGGCCGATGATAGTGACTGTTACAAAGAAGTCATTATTCTTGATTGGTACTATATTATCGTAAAACATATATTACGGCAGAATCATGATGAAAAACTAGTTGAAAAGAAACCTTTCACTGCTCTGTTCGCCTTTTTACTAGATAACTGAATAGGGACTTTCAGTTTATTCAGATCTTGATTTAAATTTGATATGTATGCTAGTATCCTGCACATAACTTACAAAAATTACGTTTTTTACTAAGTACATGAAAATTACACATTAATAGCATCTGAGCACAACTTTTAAAATAAACTATTGTAAATTCTATATTGAGTTTCTACAAGTTACATCACGATTATTACTTACTGCTTCAGCTGTTTCGGCCAGAGGATCTTCAAGGTATTCCAGGCCATCTATAATCACAATCACCGGTAAATCTGATCGATCGTCATTTGAATTAGTCGGACTCAGTGATGTTAATAGTCGAGATCCAAGCTGACGAAGTTGACGAGCCCTCTCAAAATCTTCTTGCTCACTAGTTAAACCCGACAGCAAAGTTGCCAAAGATGAATTTAGTTCACTGCCTGGTATTTTTTAAGTAAAATGTAAATTCAAGTCATGAGTTCGTATAGTTATTTAAGCCGATATCTATTGTTGTTACTCGTTATGTCTGAATATATACACGTTATGTGTGATTCACTCTACTCAACGTTGACAAACTTACTGTATGAGCATGTTAGCTGAAAAACTCTATAATTTATCAATTTGTTTGTCACACTCAGAAATGTAGAATATAAATCTTACATTTGGCTCTCCCTTTCTTTTTCACCATTACTGATTTTATTGTGATTAGTACAATCGAAAAAAAATAAGTACACAATTAGTTATAATTAAGCACAAAAGTTAGTCAGTCATCATTAACGCAGAGCCTGGAAAAGATGTGTCTCCTCTAGTTTCCAAACAACATTAGTACGACACAAAACTAGTGAAGGATTATAAATAGTGTATTAGAAGGGAGAAAGACTAAACATTGATAATATGGCTAAAAAACTGAGTGGAAAGGTATATAACCACAAAAGCCAACGGCTAAAAACTATTATTAACCTCAAACAAACTTATTTATTTCAATACCAAAACAATGTAAATAATTCCTTTAATAGGACAATATTTTTGACAATCGCTTCTGAAAAGAATACGAATAGTTTCTGTCACCAGTATATTTACCAAAGATTTTAAAATGCGGGTTTAATTGATAATTTGTGATAAAAGAAAATAACTAATAGAGAACTAATTGCTAATAACAAAATAGTTTAAAGCTGATTTCTTCGTTACGTATATACTGCAAATCTTGTTGTCATCACTTATATATTTTAAGTTTAAAAACTCTCTTGGTGGTTATTTGTCGAATTTCATTTTAAAAGCATAAATACTGTAAATATGAAAATATACACTATTGAGTTACATCACACAGCTTTTCAACTGGACGTTGAACTGAATATCTACAGACGTCCAAATAGTCATATTTAATGACCCACAATTCTCTAGTTATAACTAGCATGAACTTCTTCAGATCACGACTCTAAAGTTCCATGCGGATTATATAGACCCTAAGATACTGCTCATTTTACATGTGTAATAAGTTATGATGAAACTAGCCAGATCAGTTGTGGTCGATAAGTCTCTATTCGTCAGCTAGGTGTCAGTATAAAATAGCTCTAGTACATTATCCAAAACAAGAAACATACCAAAAATTTTGAAGTATTTTTTAATAGAAATCAATAGCAAAAATCTCAGAATGGTATTGAGAAATTATTCACTTCTGTATGAAATATGTGAACTGTTAGAACAGAACTAACATTTTGTATGAAGCTAATTTCAAAGCCACAAAAACGTTATTCACCTAATAATTGATCGAACTCAAACTGTTAAAAATCCTTCATCCTGACGTATTATATATCAAGCTTAAAATGTGCTGCTTTAATGATACGAAACATAAACTTTAAACATAGTTAAAAATGAATGAGTTATTTTAGGTATATCCTTCCTTAGTGTTATCGAAACGTATTTGTATGAATGTCACAAAATATAATTATCTGTTGAATGTATTCTTATATGTAAGACAATAAACATACATTAGGTCATCAAGATTTTATTCCTGTCACTTAAGCACGATATCCAGAGTAATAATAAGGAAATGAAAAGGACCAGTTTTCATCTGTTAGATTATCGCCAGGAAGTACTAGACATCTTTTTCATTTTAGTTCAAATTCTAGTAAAATCAAGTGTTGAGAAATCAAAACTCAATAACACCCTGGTTTCAAGCTTTTAAACTTTTTCAGAACATGACGAAGTATAACTTATATAATTTAGTTTAATCACATTAATTAGCTTCCGCTGAATTTACTGTAATTCAACATGCATAAGTTGCTTGAAAAATGTAACCCACTTTTATATCGTGCTGTTCTAGCCTTGCGATTTAAATCATCTATCAGCTGCCATATATCTGAGTTGCATTTGCCCGGTTCAATAAACTCTTCAATAAAAATGATATCTGATTCTGCTCTCAACGAATTATTTATAGTTTCATCAGCATCTGTGATTGTAATTAGTTCCTTAACTTTAATATCATCATTCATAATGGTAAAACCATTAGATTTCCGCTTGTTCAACCAATTAGTTAAAAATCGTGTTTTGCCGACACCGGGTTGACCAGATATCAGAAGGATTCGATTACGAGACGAATCATGTTCAGACTTTTTAGAAATGTTTCTAAATGCAAAAGATGGATCTGAAGAGTAAATGCATTTATCAATGTAAAAACGCAGAATTACAACATTTATTAATTAAAGAAGAACAACTGAAAACTGAGTAATACGAAATAACCACTTTATTTAAGCACAAGACATCCGACAAAACGGGAGTCAACTCAATCAGTAAACTTTGTGAAATGTAAACAGATGAATTTTAAACAAGTCTCGATAGAAACCTCCTCCTTACAAAATTTGAATTTCTTCTCCAAGATATTGTTTGAAGTTAATTTTATGTACTATCAACAAATGATTTGTCAACTGATATAATTGTATTACAAAGTTATTCTAAACTGTATTGTTGATATCAATATCGATAAGCCCGTAAGAAAAGGTTGTAAAATCTTGCTTCATAAATACAGAAAGTCCTTTAACACTTTCTATTAACACAATCTCTAAACCAACCCTCAGATTTATAATTAGACACAACCAACAAAAATGAGCAGATAGGGGTTAACTTTGAAAAATTAATTTATGGTTGCGATATAAGTTTGGGAAGTTGTAATTTACAATGATTATCATTCTAACTATGTTCATATTTTTATAGAATGACTAATCAGCTTATATTTGTTCATTCTTTCTAGAAACAAATTTCGTAGATCTACTTTATATTAATTTATCTGAATCAACATCGTTATTTATTAATACAGGTAGCTTTCATTTTTCACAGTTACTTGATTATACATGTCTGGCTAACTAGGTTGTCATCAACTGTCCAAATACTGATTGAGTAGTTGCGGTATTTTTCCTAATTGATGATTCCTTTGTACTTGATTGTGCATTGATTACGAATTCTAAATGCAACACGTTCATTTGTGCCCATTTAGTTCGACCATCCTTAAATAGCACTATTTCGGAAATCTTCAGTTAGTACATGAATTCGAATACTTTTAATTAACATAATAGTCTATTTTTTGTACCAACAATTATTAATGCAAACAATTTTACGGATAGAGCAAACAAAACTAGCATTTAATAAGCGTATTTATACTACCTTAGTCTCTGATCACTTCTTTTTAGTTTATAACTCCAATCTTCAAGTATATACAAATCTAATATGTTATTCACCGAAGAAATTGAATCGTTTTCATCATTCAATGCTGACAAACAAAACCGATCTAAGACATCCTCCAACTTTCTGATATGCCCCGGCAAAACGAACTCTGACGCTGGTCCATGGTTTTTTTTGTCTGTAATATAATCACAATAATATTTGTAAAACTTACTGACAAGTACCAGGATTGTCTGGTCTATTTTAATGGATACATCTTATGGAACAAACTGTAAATATAACAACTAAGCTAGTTGTATTGACGTCACTACGTTATTTATACGAGTCCAAGTAGTTGAAACGCATCACGGAGAAGTCTTTGTATATGAAACTGAAAACAAACTGATGTTCTTGTGGATTCTAAAATGTATTGTTGTTATCAATATCGATAAGCCCGTAAGAAAAGGTTGTAAAATCTTGCTTCATAACGTTTACCAAGTGGCTATATTTGAATTCCATGATTGCGATAAGTTGGAGCTTTGGAAATGGAAAGTTTTGGTAAAAATCTATCCAGGAAAGTTACTTTTCTCAAAGTCGTTTGGCTCCCAATAAAATATGCTGGAATTCTGTAATAGCTTACAGTTATATCCTTTATCTTAAACAGTAACAGAAAATTATTAGTTCCGCAGGAGAGTTCAAAGGGTACACCACTGCTCCCCAGCTGGGGTTCAAGAACTGGCTTGAGTCACTGGCCTAAGAGATTATCAGACGTGGCTAACAAAAGAAGTCAGTGACGTACCTGCTGTTATTTTGTTATTGTATTATTCACTAAAATACGACAAACCCTTTTAACCAAAAAACTTCTTTTTGCTTGTATTTTATTTTAAACAAACTATTTGTTTTGCGATGACCTAAAGACTGACCAAAGACCATCGATCGTGTTCATACCATATCACGCAGTGAATTACTGTACAAGGCACCTACTTTGACAAATAGCTAGCTTAAATACTGTGCTATGCAATAAACCGACCCATAATTCAAATATAGCTTTTTGCCAATCAACCCTGACTTTGAGATAATTTCATTCTAAGATGTCCCATGAGCAATGTTACCACGTTTTGCTCGTCTGACACCTCTTCAAGCACTTTTAACACCTGGAAATCAATCATTTCTCCATTACTTACAAAGTATCAAACAAATAATCCTTCGGCAAACAACTTCAACCACGAAATGATTGTGACGTAAACAACGTGGCATTGTAATGATAATTTATGAATGAATCTTTTTTCTTTAAGTGAATGATCTTTTCATTAAACTAACGAACGCCAAACTAGAAACACTTATTTGTCCGTTTCTTACTTTAGGCACTGTCTACAGTCTAACGTTTAAGTTTGATAACAATTGTTTGCATTATGAAGAAGTAAAAACAAAATAGTCATCTGATAGACTGTAGCTGAAAAAATAGCAGACAAATCTGCTCTAATTTAACTGGGCTTGAGTGATATGACTTATGTTTTCCGTCTACATTACTTCCATATCCAATCCAGTAAGCCCAACTTTTCTCTAGGGTTCTGTGTGTTATTTAGGTGGTACAGAATTCTTGTTGTTCATGTACAGAAAGAGATGGAAACCTCAGTCAAAACAGTTTGTAAATAAATGAGTGTTTCAAGTATACAGTGTTGCATATTTTTCAGAAAAATAAACTTAAAAAATGCACTTATTAAGAAAAATAAACCCACTTTTGCAGCTTGGCAGTCTTAAGTGCGAAGTTTGTTTCAACTTAACCAATTCATTCTCTAAAACGAACCCAGTGAATTTATAATCTTCATAATCATATACATCTAGTCCATTGCCAGACAATAGCGATTTTAACATGTTCTGTCGCGTTAGAGATCTTTGAATTAAAACCAGTTATTTACCGGAAGAAACATATAAAACAATTGTTAGCAACTACACTAGTTAGTGTCGGTAAACTTATTTCCAATGAATGTTAAAACTTAAAAATAACTTTGACTAAAATTATTCCACATAATGAAGCCATTCTGGTTTCAAAATGATTACTAACTGGTTTGGGAATGCAAAACACTTCAACAAGTATCTAAGTAGAGTTTTAATTCCATTCTAGTGTCTTCGGCAATCCAAGTACTGAAAGAAAGCCACTAACAAACTTCCAGTTGTGTATCTCAAATAAATCACTTACATATGGTTGAAAAGTATTCACCCCATGTTAAATATCATTCGGAAATATTTACCCAATTGCCTTTTATCAACATAAACAAATTTTTACACTCCACTAATCAACATTCAAAGTATGAAGCGTCTATAATCTACTGAAAAATTATGTCTCGCAAAAGATAGTCTGTATTTTTCAAAAATGGTACAATAAGTAGGAGAGAGATTTTCAGTTTATGTGCGCTTTAGTCCTCAGGACAACTACGTCTTTAACATGAGTCTTTAATGCAGATTGATTTGCTTATATTAATTTATTTGAAAGGTAACATTATGGGTCCAACTATTCTGTAGTAGCTTCATTCGCACAATGTATTTCACAATCAAAATATATGACATATAGCTATGCAAAGTCACTATAGTTAAGGTATCTGGTCAATCCTTCAGGTGATATTTGACGGAAAATGCAGAATAATAAACTGACAAGTGTCTTTTTGTCATCCGGGATAGAACTATTATCAAAAGAGCTCCCCAAATCAAAATGACTGGTTGTATGATTAAGTACTCACTGAGTCTCAATAAAAACAAAATCGAAATAAAATGGTCAGTTTTCTGACAAATGTTAGAGATCTCAGAATTAACTTACGCCTTAAAATTCACTGAAGGTTTCTTGAAAAAATAAAGCATTTTTTTAAACCTCGAAGTTCCCAGAACACGTTCATAGGCACAAAATGGCAGCAACTCCATCAAAGTATAGCAGTTGAATGAGGACTCAGTTAAACAATGGCCGTTTTGGGGAATATCTGATTCAAATAATGATTTCATAATGCTAGTCATTAGTGCATGGAGCGTCTTAACTTACAAAGAATCCAACTCTGGAGGTTTATTTGGTGGACATTTATATGACTCAGAGGCACATTCCGAGACGAAAAATACAATTATGTTGTGAACTGATATTAAATCCATGAAAGTAATGAATATGTCAGTGAGGAGCTCATATTTCGATATTGGATGATCTGAAAAGTAGTCACAAAGAGCTATTATTTTAGTGGAGCCACAATCATCTGCAAATCGTTTCCTCAAATAGTCTAGCTCCACCGAAAACGAGTCCCTATGGTCACAAAAAATCAATACGTTCATGAATTCACTCATCCTTGACACGAAAACATATTGAGCTTTTAAATTTATTGAGCTTTCAAACTTCAAAAAGATGGTTTCGTCTGATGGTGATATTGAACCGATTGTACAATAGATTGACGAGATAAATTTGAGGTGTGAGAAATTAATCTTCTTAGATGTTTCCAAAGAACTACTTTACTTCAATTAAATATCAAACTCTCCGAAGCAGTAAGATTAAGCAACCATTAATGATAAAGTCGGGAATGTCGAGGGCACTTTCGTGAACAGTTGTACATGTAATATACTTAGAGGGTCTTTGCTTAGTATTGTTTCGGAACGAAAGATACCCGACTTCTGTTAAGATGAAGGTGTTTATGAGCAATATTACATGCCATAATCACATTCTGTACGATTTATTTGTTCTGGAAAGTTTCCAGATCACTGCTATCAGGTAGGTCGAGTATGAGAAGGGGTTTCGTAGAGATTGTAGTAATTTCAACATTTGAGATTGAGTATGGTTTATTATTGCTTCGTAGCTCAGGTGCCTTTAGGGTTGCTCTTCTTCAGCTCGCTCCGAAGCGAACTGAGATATTACAGTAGGATTTTTCAGAGGAATGTTTAATTAATGAACTAAACAGGTTGTATGATTTTTAAAAGTAACTTTAATCATTTTGTAAAAGTTTTTGATATGCATTTACGCAAGCCGAAATTTCTGTCCTATATACCATACCAAAATTTTGCCTCTTCATCATTAGCTTCCTCGCCCAATGTTTCTGTTTTTGCAAACCGTGTTTGTCCTTCGATCCAGAACAGAGCTAGTGATAGTACTTAATTACAGTTGTGTTCCTCCTGTTTCATTTTTTATGTATTGGTATATCCTGGAGATACCAGTTTTTCCCTGACTTCAGACTGTGACGGTCGTCACATTGGTTAACTTTTTTTGATTTCACATGCTTGAGTTTATAATTTTGGTTTAAAGTACACTTCCCATGTGCTGGAAATGTCCATTATGCTTGAAAATCAATTGTCCTATAGGATTCTTAAAGATATGTCAATCTTTTATCCTTTACTTTTAACTGATCACCTTCAAGTAAGTTCAAGTAAACTATTCGATTAGGCAGAATCGATTTGACAGCCCATTTCTTATAATTGTTCAAATATGTTGTCTATCCTGTACCTTTAAACTTGTTTTACGTTGAAATAACACCACACACTTCTATCAAATTACTGTGTATTGGTATCATCAATTGTTGAGAGTCACAGACTAGAAAACTGTTCTGTACATCTCACGGTCCTGAAAATCTAGCTTTTCTGTCTGTTACAAACTTCAGTACGAAAATTGTAAGACACATTATTCATAGCAAATAGAGCAGCATCTGTGCGTTCATACATGGTGATAACCTGTAGAGAGAACCATCAAATTACCAGAAAACCAGTGTGTTTTTACTCTCGACCACTAACATTCTGTATGTGCTGGTATATAATAGACGCGAATTGCACCAGTCTAGTCACTTTTTTGACTGAAGTCACTTTGGAAAATAGCTATTTACTCAGGAACACTATATTTTTTATATTTGAAAACACAGATGTATGAGCAAAGAGTATTCCTCTCAACAATTCCAAACTAATAATCCCGAAAATACTCGGGTTTGAGGCATAGTACATAATTTAAAATTATAGAATATGGATTTATGATTGTTCGTAATACAAAATAATGCCGATAATTTCGGGATAACTTACATGAAGTATTGACTTGATTAAGTTCATGCGTCAAATGAATTTGTGAGATAAATGACCAAAATAAATATGGTTAGCATGGGACGAGATAATAATGTAATTACAAATTATAAATTACGCAATATGTAAAATAACATGAATTCGGTACAGCTTGGTAATTGTGGGTGGCTGCTAAATAAATTTCTCCGAAACGTTGACAGGTGTTGTAATAATAATGACAACAACAATAGAAATAATAGGATGTGTGAACAAGATACGCTTAGACTATGAAAATGAAGATGGACATAATTATGTCATCATATCATAAAAATCGTTATTAACTAACTAGGCCAGAAGTTGGGTAGTGTAAAGGGACCGGTTGAACATATTTCTCTTTGACCCAGAGATCTGCCTTTTTGATCCGAACTGCTACTGCTTCAGCCATTTGAAGGATTCTCAGTCTGACGGACTGAAGCGGATTGTTAGATACACGACACATTGCTATTATTATACCATGTGATAGCCATATTTATCCTGATATATGATTATGTTTTCTCCAGCTCTGACAATAAAGACTTAGCAATATATTCATGGAGATGTCGTCATAGTCAATAAGCGTGATCGGTTTCATAATGGCTAAATTGGATAATTTTATTGAGTGTAGTAATGATGACAGACATTTTACAGTTTAACCTTCAGAGCATACTGATTAGAATTTTGAGGCAAATTAAACCATTCCACTACGTACCTGGACGTCAGGGGCTACTTCCTGAGAAGAATGGGCTGTAATGTTCCAGTCACTTATCTGTGATGATTGGAAAACTTGTGACAAGAGCCAGTTTCGTAGCTTATGTGGGTCGAACTTTAGCTGACGTTGTTGTTTATTAATGACTGTATGGAAGTCTTATCCAATAAAGGCTTTGACTACTGTCTGTTATGCAGCATAAAACGCCACTCACAAATACTTTTAAGCAAAAACATTTGTAAGCCTCATGTTGTCAGGCTGTATGACGGTGCTGATACCATGAAGCACACTAACGTGATTCACTTGACATTTTCAATCTACTTCAAGTGAAGGAAGACGATTTGACTGGAAAGCTTAAATAGTCATACAGGAATTCTTATCAAGTCTCTATGCAGCTTATCTTCCTAAGCCGAGTAAATGTGTCATTCCAACCTTGTTATGCGTATCACGATCTTCATGTATTATCTCTCTCATCAATGACCTTTTGATTATATTTATGTCCATTTCTGCGCGTGCTTCCCGTGTTTGTTTCAGCAATTTACGCTCTAATTGCTTGCCTTCAGTCTTTACATTATTCACTTTATGTAAAGAGTGAGTTATTCATTATTGGTGGAGTGAGCTAGTGTGTCAACTTCATACTACTTCTATTTGTCTTCCAATAAATTATTGTCTGCTCATAAATGAAGACATAAAATAAATGTGTCTTCATCACATTTAGTATTTGTTTTTTTCGGCTCAAGTTTGTATCAGTGTTTATCGAGGCGTCCAACTACAAAATACATGATCATTATGCTGAAATCAGACACAGGGACTGAAATTGAAGTCACGGTTTTTACTGACTTCTAAACTAGCTCACTGTAACCTATTGATCAAACTTTCCTGCTTTTTGAGATTTCTCAGTTAAGGAACAAAATATCAATGGAAAAATTATACTTTCGAGACTGAGATAAAAGACGTACAAGATGTGACCTCTTCGGCGTGAGTCGAAAAGTGACATTTATTCCCTAGCCACAGTTACCATTTTTTGAACTTCACAGTTGTTCACCCACTACTCAACATTTAGTAATCTGTCCTTTAATTTAAGAGCGGGTTCATCTTGGGGGATTATCTAGCTGCGGTTCAATATTATTCCACATACCGTACATATGTACATACATACCGTATGTGTATGCCCGTTCGTAGAGCCGCAGTGTTGATACGAATTGAGAAAGAGAGGTAGGGCAGACTCACTGGTAGACATGCCAATTTGACTTCTACAACTTTTTTAACCCCTACTAAGCCAAAACAACCAAACAGCTCGATACGCAATTTATTAAAACAATCAAAGGTTATAATACGTGAATAGAAATTCTGCCAGTAGTACAGGATCCCCAGAAATGTCAGGCAGTTGTTATTAACAGTAAAAATAGTTTCACTTCTTCAGACATCTTACGATCTATAACCACAAGTGCAGCGGCAGACAACAACTAACCAGCCTGACTTGAGTAAAGCTAACAACAAAAGACGAATCATCGTTACTACACCAATTTTTGATGAGTCCCAACTAGCTAAAAGCGCTGCACTGTGAGCTTCACTTACACCATTGGTTTTTGTTCAGTGTTTTCAACGTCTTATATTATTCTTTGCCTACGTATTTGCCACCTTGGTTGTGATTTGCACCGTGCCCTGTGCTTTCACATGTCGTGGTATGAGCGCGGAATGCGTATTCGAAATCTAATAGGAGTTGCGTTGATGATAAACAAGCTTCAAATAAAGATCAATATAATTATCATAATAATGACTAATCTCCAATTAGCGATAAGTTGCTTATGACGTGCCACCTCACATACATGATCAATTTGCTGCAAGCAATCTCTCATTTATCAGTTCCTAGAAGCGTGACCGGTGCTGCTGCCTTGACGTGGCGATCAGACTTGGTCATCGTAGAGAACTGACCGGGCTATACTGGCTGAAACAATCTTCCTCGAAGGTCCGACGATGCCAGAGAGGTCGATTGCAGAGCGGTAAGACTAGAAGCAGCAAACCCAAGGTCCGAGGGGGAGTCGTACTTCTGTCTGTACTGATGTGTGACGGTAATAAAGCGTTTTCAGACAACTGGCATAACAACGATGCCGCTTTCCCAAAAGTAAGAATGGGGTTAGAAAACATCCACCCTAAAAATGCACACCTCGCCTTATCCCACGGATATCCGTCTCTGACGTTGTATCCCAATAAGTACTGATCTAACACGAAAACTACTCGCATAAGAGCCAACGAGATACACCCTTTGTGTATCTGGCTACCCGATGGCTAGTCCCCGTGAACTGGCGGGTGTAGTCATAGGACTAAGTACGACGGCAGAACAAACACTATTAGAATGGATCCCTGTTAACAGTCGCCTATGTTCTGTTCGGTTAAATGGCTTTGTGAGAACTCGGAAGGATAAGGACACACGTCGTTACTTTTTCGTCATTTCTTTCTACGCTCCTACTCACTGCGGTCTGTATGAAGTGATAGATGACTTTTATGGAATGCTTTCTAAGCTATTCAATAAGCTAAATGCTCAGACAAAGAGATTGTAGCATGTGACTGATGCCCAAATAGGTAGCCTAAACCAAATAGAAAGACATTTGGACATGTAT